TGGGTGAGTGGGTGGGTGAGTGGGTGGGTGGGTGGGTGAGTGGGTGAGTGAGTGAGTGGGTGAGTGAGTGAGTGGGTGAGTGGGTGGGTGGGTGAGTGGATGGGTGAGTGGGTGAGTGGGTGAGTGAGTGGGTGAGTGGGTGAGTGAGTGGGTGTGTTGTTGTGACCTGCAGTGTGGTGAGTGGGTGGGTAGTGAGTGAGTGGGTGGGTGAGTGGGTGGGTGAGTGAGTGAGTGAGTGGGTGAGTGGGTGTGTTCTTGTGACATGAGTGGATGGGTGAGTGGATGGGTGAGTGAGTGGATGGGTGAGTGAGTGGATGGATGGGTGAGTGAGTGGGTAGGTGGGTGGGTGAGTGGGTGGGTGAGTGGGTAGGTGGGTGAGTAAGTGAGTGGGTGTGTTGTTGTGACCTACAGTGTGGTGATTGGGTGGGTGAGCGAGTGGGTGGGTAGTGGGTGAGTGGGTGGGTGGGTGAGTGAGTGGATGGGTGAGTGAGTGGGTGGGTGAGTGGGTAGGTGGGTGAGTAAGTGAGTGGGTGTGTTGTTGTGACCTACAGTGTGGTGATTGGGTGGGTGAGCGGGTGAGTGGGTGGGTGAGTGAGTGGATGGGTGAGTGAGTGGGTGGGTGAGTGAGTGGGTGGGTGGGTGAGCGGGTGCGTCGTGGGGACCTGCAGTTGAACACGGTGTATAGGATGAGACGAAACAGTGGGACAGAGACCGAGTCCTCACAACGGAAGGAGGAATGAACGAGCGACGTCCACGGCTACGGTAACCACGGGAGCAGGAGACGACTGACCGCCAGTGAGCGAGTGGCTGGAGTGAATCAGGCAGTGCTCGTCATTGGAATTCTCTCCGGTGCGGCGAGGTAGGAGCCGGGATCCCCACCCCAGATTTGATGGCAGCAGCAACAGGAGTCCAGCTTGCGGCAAATTTGTGCTCTGTACTGTAGCGTGTGTGACGTGTGTGTGACGTGTGTGTGTGACGTGTGTGACGTGTGTGTGTGACGTGTGCGTGCTTGTGTGTGTGTGTGTGACGCGTGTGTGACCTGGTGTCCACACAGGTGAGGCTGACCGTGTTCCCGGAGAAGTCGACAGTGATCACCTCTGGCTTTCCGTGGTGGATCATCCTCGTCGCCATCCTCGTGGGGATCCTGCTGCTGGCCCTGCTGCTCTTCCTGCTGTGGAAGGTGCGAGCGACGATTCGGCAGCCTTGGCTCACGACGAGCTCCACGTAGCTCTTTCTCACAGAAGCGAAGTATTCGCAGGCGCCCCGTAGAATGATGCCGCTCGGTGCTCGGGAACTCGCCAGGCCGTTGCGGAACGCTCCCCGGCACCGATGGCGCAGTTGAACGGTTGATCAACGTGGGGGGGTAGGGGGGGTGAATAATGTTTTCCACGTGCGGCCCTTCGTTAATCCGCTGGGTGGACGAAGGCCTCCGACGGCGCCGCGGCGTTCGCGCGAGTAGTTTGACGGTGCTCCAACGCGCTGGCCCCCGTTTGCCGCGCGGCCTCCCCACAAGCCGGCTCTCACCACGTGTGGCGGCGCTTGTGTCCGCAGTGCGGCTGCCTGAACTTCAACCGGAAGGCCGACCTCTACGAGGCCAAGTACTACCACGACGAGGTGGAGGTGCAGCCCTCGGAGACGGCCAAGCTCACGTCCGACTGCTAACACGGCGCCGGCGTCAAAAGGTCAGTGGCGGTCGGGGCGCGGTTCCAGTGCGCGGCGGCGGCCGCCGGTGCTGCCGGTGCCGCCGGTGCCGCCGGTGCTCGTTTGACCCGGCGAGGTCCGGGGAACCGGCGTCTGCGTTCGGGCGGCGGCGGCAGCTGCAGGAAGCGAGTTTTGTGCCGAGATCTGCTGCCGCTGTGCTGCGACGAACTTTGCGCGTCTCTCCGGTGAACCTTGGCCGGCTCGAGGAATCTGTCAGGGTTTGGGCGAGCGGTGGGAACAAGGTGGCAGCGTGAAGGGAAAATGAATCGGTGTCGGCGCTTATGTTCACGTGGCTCGTAACTTGTCTCGTTTCAGGTTTGCGTTCTGGAAGTCAAAGCCGAGAGCCGCGTCCGTCGTTTCACAAGCTTCACTTTTTCCCCCGCATCTTCCATCATCCCCCCCGCCTGTCCCCTCACCCCCATCGCTTTTGTGACTTCCGACAACCGTCCACTCCCCCCCCCCCCCCCACCCCTGCGTCTGCACGCGGAATCCCTGCACGCGCACGACGCTCGCACGGTCGTCACTCCGCGATCACGACGACGACGAAGCGTGGCTGCTGCGCTCCTACTTGGGGGGCAATTCGCGTCTCTCGTGGGAAAGGGAGTCCCGCCGACGCTCGATGTATGCTGCGGGCAGGCCCCCGTGGGCCTTGCTGTGAGCCTCAACCATTGCAAGGGCCACGGTTGCACAGGCGGGAGCCACGCTTCCCTGGGAGTCTCCCCATCCTGTGGCTCCCCGTGGCTCCTCGTGGCTCCTCGTGGCTCCCCGTGGTTCCCCGTGGCTCCGTGGCTCGCGCCGAGCCTCACGCTTTGCGCCCTGCACCCCCCACACTTTGCGCCCCGCCCACCGAGAGCGGCGTCCATGAGAGCAGTCTCGCCGCGATCGCGCTCGGAGCGCTTTTCAAAAATCCCTCCTTTTTGCGCGGGATCCTTTTTCTTTTCGCGGATTTTTTACAAAACGTCGTCGGTCTATACGTCCGGCAATTCGAGAGGGAATTACGGAACGGGTGTTCTGATTATTAAAATCATCGCGAATTGGATGTTAGCCCGCCCGCACGGTCGTTCAGATCCAATGATTCCTTAAACGACGAGAAAACTCATTCCGCGTGCGGGCGGGAAACGACACGGGCGGCACGCGATGCAGCTCGCACCGAGTGGGCGACCTGAAACAACAGCACGGCCGGACGTTCAGTTCTCTTGAGCTGGTGGTCTGGACAAGGTCGAGAGCGTCGTTGTGGGCAACGTGCGAGGCATGACGGGAGTGGGCGTTCGACACCGTGGTGTCAAATCTCAGCCCCGCGGTTGCAACAAATCGCTTCCCGTGTCTCAAGAGGGGGGGGGGGCACTGGGGGGGGGGGGAGGTTGGGGTTTCTTCAGATGATTTTTTTTATCACAAGGCTCTGCGTGGGGCCTTGGGACTAAAACCATCTGGCGGCGGAATTGGCAAATCAAGTAGAAAAAAAAACTGCTTTGTCACTTTCGCGCACAATTCTGTAAGATGCAGACGCACCCCCCCCACCCCACACACGACGCAGCGTCACACCCGCACTGCCCTGTGCAGACATTGCCCATTTACCCACGGCACTTTTTTTGTAGGTTTACTTTCGACGGCGCTCACTTCCAGCGTACGCTTTCAAGCAGAGCGTCGTTTCTTTCCCCGCCACGGTATTTGCGTGGCTCGCAAACGGCACAAGCGGCGACGCGCGCGTCCACGCGGCCCTCGCCGGTAACGAACGCGTTTAGTCTTCGAGAGAGCCGGCAAGGGTGGGTTTAAGGGGGGGGGGCACGGGGGGGGCACGGGGGGGGGGCCCATCCGGCCCACCCCGGGGGGGGGGGGGGTGGGAAATCGCGGCGTTCGTTCGGGTGGTGGGGGAGCAGTTCACGCGTCACGAAATTTCGGCCGCCCCACGCGGCGTCCCCGCGGCCGATGGCTGCTCTCGGACGCAACGCGGCGGCTAGGAGATTGTCACCCCCCCCCCCTCGCCTAGTCTGCAGCAGCCTCTTGGGTTCGATTCCGACCCTGGCGCCTGCTGTGTATGCAGCGTGCTTCAAAAACAAATGTTAACATACTCTTTGGTAGAAAAATTAAATAATTATTCTTTAATTAGTTTTTCTACCTATGTGACTTTACCGAAAGAACCAAAGAGTATGGATTCCTGCAGTCACGAAAGCTTCAAATCAAGATAAAATGTTAACACTTACACGGGACTATCGTTTAAAATGGGAAAAGAACGGATAATGCGCTGTAACGTGATAACAAATGTATGTTAATAGCTTCAAAAAGTAAAAGTGTTCCACTCGTTCACCATCAATGTCAACGCGTGCCTGGAATCTTCTCCAGGTGGTCTCTCCAGACCCGGAGGCACATTTCTCGTGGCATTGTTGCAAATTCTCTGGAGTGTTAAAAATGTTTTAAAGCACCCTGTATTTGGAGTTTGCGTGTCTCTCTTCTCTCCGTGATTGCGTGGATTTTTCTCCGGGTCCTTTGGTCTTTCTCTACACATTTAGAATCAACGTCGCGCGTTCAAGAGTATTTTGCTGCAATACATTTCCACGTGGTGATGCTAAAGCCGCTTTGGTGAGCTCATCATTTGTGATAGCCAGGTCGCTTCTGGAAAAAAGAGCTATACGGCTCAGTGGGCCTTACCTGGTGGAATAAAACGTTTTGTTTCGTTTAATGTTGGTACGTGGGTCGTTTTTTTATTGAAAAATACCTTTAAAACGCGTTAGGCCATTATTTGTGAAAATTACCACTTTAACACGTAGCGTACACACTCAGCCAAAACACAAAGGAGGGTGGCATTGACTTGTTCTTCAAAAGTCAAGTCTTGAGCCATTTTTGTCGACGTCTTTCGGGGGTGACAAAAAAATTGGATCGTAACAACAACAAAATAACCACATTCCAGATAATCCTCATGACGAAAAGCTCAGGGCCCACGAGCTCAGAGGGGTTTACAGCCTCGTCGAGCGGCTATCGGCGGCGCTGGCAGTGGCAGCCTGCGGCGGCGGCTGCTGCTTGCACGCAAGGTCGTCCACCGCCGGTGGGTCACGGGCGCTTGCGAGCGCTCTTCAACGAATGTCTCTCGACTTGCGAAAAAAGGGCGGTTTGGATCTTGCTGCCGCCGCCGTCCTGCGTGGAGTTAATTGGGAGCAGGAGACTCGCAAAACACAACTCGGGTCGCACGCAGGAGTGTCAATTGTCGCTTTCACGGAATTCCGCGTGGTTTTTTCATCCTCCCAGTGTGTAGATGACTTTGTAATGTTTGAAAGTGGTGTCCAATAAAACAAAACCGCTACAAATACTTGTCACGATTTCTTTATTAAACGTCATAGATGACACGTCACTCTTCACCACGACCTTTTTTTCCCCGAGCGATTTTTTTTTACGTGCAATTTCCCAATTTCCTTGGATACATCGCACGGTGAGCCTCAACACGACGGAGCAATTCACTTTTTATTGATACATAACGCAAAATAAATTGTGGCATATTTGGCCAAAAACAACTTGTGCCGATGTGCCTTGGGTGTTTCGGTAAAGTCACGTAGATAGGTTCAAATTAATACAAATAAAATAAATAAAAACCACGACGTTTCGATCGCAACACAAGCGGTCGTCATCAGGCGGAGAGGAAAGGGGGGGGTAAGCCTCTAAATGCAACTGTTTATAAAGGTTTGCAAGTGGGCGTAGCCCAAGTGTCAGAACAGAGTGGGCGGGGCACAAGGGTCTAGGCCAGCAGTGGATGGAGCATCCTCTAGAGATGGAGTCTCGGCCATGACAGAGCAAAAGCTATAGAGATGGAGCCTAGCCCAGCAGTGGATAGCGCATGCAATAGGCATGATATACTAGAGGTAGTCTAGGCCAGCAGCGGATAGAGCAGGGCTCCTCACCTCAGCTCTCTCCCCAGCGGTTGCAGGCGGAATGAGTGGAGCAGGTTGTGCGAGGGGTAAACAACATCTGGTGAGCATCGGAGTGTTACAAAACGGAGAGATGGTGAACTCGAGGAAGTCTCGCCCAGCAGCGGATAGCGCATCCGAGTCTTTTTCGGGTCAAAAACGTAATGTGGAATTTTCCAATTTCTTTTAATGTGTAGATAGCATCCTAACCCCTAACACATCATAGGAATTCACTTTCTATTGAGAGTTAACTCACATATTTTTCAATACTTTTTAGCCAACACCGACGATTCTTTTTCAAAGTAAAAAAAAATTCCGCGAAAGAAAACCGTTACACTCCCCACGTGTTCTATTGGTGACATCGGTGCCGATTGGTCGTGTCCACGTGACGTCAGAGAACAGGTCGGGGAGGGGGGTTAGGGTGCATGGGAAAAGTTCGATAAATTCTACACCAAATTTTTCACGAACCAATTGAAACTTTTTAATGCCCACGAATCAAATTCTAGAGCGAGCAAACCAGGGTATCTGTTCACGCTCTCGTTCACCCACATTTGTGTTCGTAGGCTGCTGACGGCAGCCTCCAACTGTCCTCAATCTGCAATCAAATGTCCCCTGAAGTGACGACGAGCATGTCACCCGGCAACGATCATTTAAATAAAATTAATTTGTTTCAATTCCACAAAACCAAGTGGACGTTTCCACGGTGCAGTGGACCCGCAGCAACAAGTCACTGGAGTCAAGGGATGGACAGCAAGAGTCCCAGCCTGGCTGGGGCATGGAACCCGTCGTCGTCGTCCTCGTCATCACAACCGCTCCATCTAAACACGAGCTCCCACAGGGTCCCACTGGGGGATTCTGTGCACCTCGTTGGTATAGACACAAAGCACCCTGCAGGCCAGTTGGGATTCTGTTTGAATATCAACCGACGACGGAAATTTTCCCAAACATGATGCCAAAATGACGCGTTTAAAACCACAGGAGCCCAACACTAAAATCCAAACTAGACTGCCCTTCCCACGACAGGCAATGCACTTCGTCCACCCAGCGGTGCCCTCACGCCCGCGGCACTTCCCACGGACAGAGATTCGTTATCTTCACAATTTGTAACGGTGAACGTCTCTTGATGCCCGGGTGGGGCTGCTCATATCAAACGGCAGGAGTCCAAAAGGCAGGTGGGGGGGGGGGGTCACAAAACACTGGGCAAGTGGGTTCACCACAAGTGACGGGGCCCTTCACCGAAACACCAAGACTCAGAACACGAGGAGAGAGGCTGGAAATGATTTCATTGCGATGACGAAAAAAAAGGTAACCGCCGCAGTAATTCGTGACTCCGATTAAAATGAGAGTAACACATGAGAATAGGTTTTACCCTTTCTGGCAATAAAACAGGTGTGTGACGATGTTAAAACACCAAACACATAGACTTGTGGTGAACATGCAAACAAAAAGCATGCTCCGGTAGTATATGCAAACGGATTGGTCCACACCAGAGACAGCTTTCTGAAGAGCTTAGTCTCAAACAGTGTTAGATCAACTGGCAAGGGAGGTCCCATGAAGAGCAACCCAGTACTAGACGTTGTTGTCGCCCGATTAAAATTGCTTATGACCCAACCACAAGGTTCTAACCTAACGCCATCGAGATGTACAAAGTGGCAAGAGCAAGGGAGTCAGCCGCGGTTTCAACTGCAACGCTACAGAGTTGAGAACACATCACGTGACAGCTTATCAGTAATACTTAAAAACGTTTCATCTTTGCAATATTTGAAATGGTTGGATGAAAACCAAAATCTTACGTGTGTGCACATATATATTTTTTCATATTCTTAAAATAAACTGGTTAAATTGTAACGAAGTAAAGCTACATGTTCAGTGTGATGCAGTGCACTGTGACCGCCCAGAGGTCGCCATTAGGGTTCCATCTTCCGATGTCTAAAAATCCCTCCCCGGTTCTGCCTCAAACTCGACGTTTGTAAGACGAAGCACGACCCGTCTGAAGTTGGTGTCCGGAGACGAGATTCTAGAGAAACCGATTCGCCAGATTCGAGAATCAGATTCTGCAGATTTTAGAGAAACAGATTCTGTAGCTTCGGGAGCTAAACAAATTCTGCAGATTAGAGATATAAACACATTCTGCAGATTCGAGAGCTAAACAGATTCTGCAAATAAACAGATTGTGCCGAATAAAAAAAAAATCCTCAAGCGTCTGTTTAGTTTATGTTGACGGTGTGTATTACGTGTCTCACGAGTGTATTACGAGTGTATTACGTGTGTATCACGTGTGTATCACGTGTGTGTCACGAGTGTATTACGTGTGTCGCAACGACAACGCGATGTGACGGGGTCCGCGCATTGCCTGAATCATAATTTTTTCTTTTAAACGTCGAGTGAATATTTCGTGAAGAATGGAACTCGTGTGGCCATCCGGACGCTCCTCCTGAAGAAATGACCACAGCTCCTCTCTCTCCACCTCTTACCGCATCTGCAGCACGGACGCGGAGAGCGACGGGACCCCTAAGGGCGTGCACGAGTGAGAAACCGGGAGCCCCCTTTGAAATTCATGAAATGAGTGTGTGGACGTACGTGATCATTTCACGTTGAAAAGGAAATGCTGGGATCTTGTCCTTACACGTTTTGATACTATACTCTATAGAGTTCTGTACTATTTACAGTTCTATATTCACACAGACTCACACCAAAATATATTATTACTCCGTGACCTTTCAGAGTGAAATCGGCGCACCCACACCACCGCAGGATCGCACGCGCTGGCAACCATCACGCGCACTGCGGAGGTAGGTGTGGGGGGGGGGAGGGTGCCATGTCGCTGGGTGCGGGCGAGTTCGGGAGATGACCGCACAGTTGACCGCACGCCGATGGGGCACACGGCTCGGGCGAGCGGTGCCGGGCGGCGGGGCGCCCGACGGCCCCTAGCGAGGCTTGTAGGTGGCCATGTTGCGCGGCTCACTGCTCGGCACGCACCAGTCGTCGGCCTCGTGCGCCTCGTGGTAGTGGCGCCACGCCGACTTGTTGTAGACGGGCAGCCGCTCCACCGACTCGCTCGACAGCGCCTGCGCACGCACGCACAGACCGGCCGCACTCCGCTTCACCGCATCCATCGGACGAGGCACCCGCCGGGGTACGGATAGCGACCGCAGCGGGGCACCGCGAGGCGATGACCGCACGCGCTTTACAGAATCGGAATGATTATTTATACTGGAGGAATCCGACGAGCCGTAAAGCTCTTCCTCCACAGATGTCCAGCAGTTCATGGCCAGAGAAGCAAGTGGGTGGACAATGGACGCGTCTTTCCGTCGCACGGCGGCACTGCGGCCTCGGTGGGAGTGCATCTTTTTTCAGCGGCACTGCTTCAACACGATCAGCATCTTTTATTCAGACCGGAGGAGGAGGAGAAATCCGATGAGCTATGAAGCTCTTTTTCCCCGCGGATGTCCAGTCGGGACGGGTCAGCAAGTTACAACAGCAAGAAGTACAAAGAGACGACAGGGGTGCAAAGTAAGAAAAAAGGTAAGCAAGTCACTAAAGGCAAATAAATAACGTACAGAAGGACACATTTCATCAGCATGTACATTCCTGCTGATACGTCAACACCAAATGCAAGTTCGGGCAAGGCAGCAAAAGCAGCAACAACGACAGTCCCAGACCACATCAAGACGACACGCAGTCCCTCAATGAAATTGCACATTAAAATGTAACTATCGATACATGAACAAATGATTAAAGAAAGATCCCCCATATAGACTTTACAGACTTTTGGGGCAAGTGCTGTTAGCGAGCACCTATGAAGATGAACGCAAACAAGCAAATGATGGGCCGGTTTTGACATTAATTGTCTCATCAGCAGTCAGGCTTGCCTGAACAAATGTTGGTGTTAAAAGGCAAGGACCTTGTTCGACATGGGTGCTAGTTCAACACAAAACTACACAATACACAACTCAAAGAAATCATTTGTGTTGTTGTGGAGAATATTTAATTATAATTATGATTATTTGCTTTTACATTAACATCTATTCCTTCCGTTGATTTTTAGGTGACAGACCACAGAGTGTGGTTGTTAACATCTCGCCGTCGCGGCACCCCGAGCTCTTGGCCGGATCTCAAAAAACTCAACGCCGTAAAATGCTGCCAAGTCTCCACACGACGACGTCGCGTAGTCCCGGTAACGGCGGCTTCTTAGTGCATCGCAGCTCCCCCACCGATCTCAGAGCAGCCAGCTCACCTTCAGGTAGACGAGGGCGGAGGTGCCGTGCCCCTCCATGGAGTACAGATGAATGTCCCCCTGGAAGTAGCGAGCGTAGAGCCGGGAGAGAGGCAGCCCGTATCCAAAGCCAGCCTGAACGCCACGCACACACAAAAAAAGCCAGTGCCCTACAGCACGCTGGGGATCTGCGTTCCGTGAATATCTCTCGGCCCCGCTGCAGCACGGCGGAAGCTGCCACGGGTCACAATCACTGTAGGGGGGCCTGAATTAGCCTGGAATGTGTGTGCAAGTTTGTTCGTGCTTTGTAATTGGCCATGCTCGTGTGGCAGGAAACAAGGGGTCTCTGTACGGAAAGAAACTGAATGGAGACCGGTTACCCAGGATGCAATGAGTCGGCAAATGTTGGTGATTTTACTTTGAATGCAAATTAATTGTGCATTATATAAATGTTTGATGTGTTATGAGTTTCGTCTGTTACCTAGTATCCACTCATGAATAACTATGCACATACCAATGAAGTACTGGTCATCTTGAAACATCCTTAAAATATGTATTATTATTATCAGAGCCCAATGTAATCTCCAACTGTTGTTCACTCCATCTTTATAGCCTTTTTGTAAGTACTTCTGTATAAATGTTTAACTTCTTTCGCACTGTATGTAGCCAACCGTGATAATTGGAGGTACAGGGGAAGGACAACAAACTAAAGACAAAAGGCAGTTTTAAAGAAATTAGTTTTAAATCTCAAGGTTAAAGTGCATAGCTCCAGAGGCTTCCTAATATCGGAAGAGCTTTCCAGACGGCCACATAAGTGCCTCTGAAAGCGCGTGATGCAAGCGCGATGAAGAACTGCCATTGCCCCGAAACATCGCCGATCACACTTTATGATATTCTGTTTAGTGCAGCGCTCTTGATGAATGCACCAAGTCGCGCTTTGTCATTTGCGGCAACCGCCAGATCACGTGACCGGGCTGTGGCGCCCGCCGCTCGGCTTCCATACCAGGGGGGCAGCACGGGAGGTGTCCATGCGTGGTCGGGGCGCGGTGGAGTACATGTAGTTAAACAGCCGATCGATTTTTCGGAGGGGCACCCCGCCTCCCTTGTCGCTCATCTGTCAGGGCACACGGCACACGGCAACGGTGACGAAGCCAGGCCACTGGGGCGGTGACACCGTCAAAACATCTCCTCTCGTCACTTGGCATCGCCACGCGCCGTATAGCTTCGTGGCAGACGAGGACTCACGGCTGACGAGGCGGCTGCATTGCTGTGTACACACTGGGCCGCTCGCCAGCGTTCGGTTCAAGCCAAGGAGACACTGAATGTCAAAACCAGTGCAGAGTTGGGCTCGTGTTGAACCAACGCTGATGAAAAGTAAATCATAAGGCCCTGTGGCAAATGAGATGTGTAAACAAATGCCGTGATTTTTGACGTGAAAAGGTCAGATATGGGAAGTAGGAATTTTGTCTGGCCATTTTTTGTTTGCAACAAAAGATGTACATTTCATAGATGTAGTTGGCGAAACAAACACACGCGTGTGATTTGTAGTAAATAAAGAAACGTTGGTTTGATATCGAGACTGATGGTCGTAGGATTGTGCCTTTCTTGATTGGACATTGTACACAGCAATCACCGCCTCCGACTGGCAGTCGAACGCCCCAGGTCACTCTTGCAAATGAGATGATGCTGCTCCCTCAAGCTCTCACCGCCCGGTTAAACAAAGTACACCTGAAACTTTGTCTGAATTAGTTCTTAACCGGTACACAGGTAATGGTCATCTATCCTTAGTTCGGGGGCTGTTACGAGGCCGCACCTCCGATCAGCACGGTCGGCTACGTACGATGTGGAAGAAGTTCAACGTACATATACGTACGTATGAAGGCAGCGCATTCGCCCCCTGTTTCAGAGGTTCACCGTTCCAATCCGCCAGGCCACCGTGGTTAATGCTACGGGTGTATTAAGCATAAAATACTCGCAGTGTGCTTCACAGGGGACGTTAGAGATGCCGTGGCGTATTTTCAGGGAGGGAGGGAGGGAGAATGGCGTGATCTAAATTTGTCAAGTAAAAAAAAATATTTACAAATTACTTCATTTGGAAACCCTTAGCAACTATTGCGAAAACTTAGCAGGACCCAGCAGAAGGAGAGTCTTGAGACTCGGTGAGTCACACTGCACACTGCAGGAGCTGCAGTGTATAGCAGCAACATCCGGCGGTGTATTCTAATTTATTTATTCACGGCAAACGCGGGCGGGGTGGCATCAGGTGGCCTGCGTGGGCCTGTCAACCCAGGGCAATGGAGGTCATTCCACACCCCACAACTGCTATACGCCGGAGGGGCTGTAACATTTAACGGCAATCAGGTTCTGCCAACATTGCGAGCATTCGTGCCGCGAATCAATCGGAGTATTTACTGTATCGGTGCCGCTGCGGTGCAACTGTCAGCACAACCCAGAGGTCAGCAGTTCGATTCCATCTTCCGATGCGGCGGTGACGATTCCACAACCCACGATACTCGTGCCACTCAGCAGACTAAACGAGTCTTTAACCATCGATCGGCAGGTCGCGTATGGGTGGGGGGAGTGCGGGGATGTAGAGTTTGGGTACACCTCATCAAAAACGTCTGGTCAACGTGGAAGAGTAGACCAAAAACACCCTCTATAAGGGGTGTTCTAGAGCAGCGCTGGGCAACCGGCAGCCCGCGGGTGGCATGCGTCCCGTGGAGTCTCTCGCGGTGGCCGGGAGGCAGGGGCTCAGCAACCAAAACAACAGCGGCAAGAGCAGCCGCTTTTTGTCAAATTCGGTCCCACAACTCAATACTTCAAGATTTCCGCAACGCGATGCGAACGAGAGACTGCGGCCCTTTCGTAAATAATAACGTCAACAAGCGCGGCCCTTCCAGAGCCGCACGCAGCTTGCCGACCCCTGGGTCTAGGGCGACGCGCAGGGGTCACGATGAGCGTGCCGCCAAAGCTCCGCGGGCCGCTGAGACGAAGGAAGGCCGCACGTGCCGGCCCGCAGACTCGTCCGGGTTGCCCGCCGCCGCCGCTCGAAAGCCCCCCCCCCGCCCTCCCCAACGCCGTCCCGTTGCCTTGCACATTCGCCGCGGGGCCGCTCGGGGTTCGTAAAATCCGCTGTTGCCCTCGGATCGCCTCTCGGCCGAACAAGGCCAATTCGTGAAAACACCTCGACAGTCCCCAGAGAGCCTTGCAGAGGAGGTAATAATAACTGCGCGCCTCCAACGGGCTAGGAATAGAATGCGGCCCGAGGTGGGGCTCATCGACAATTTGTGGCTCTGAGCCAACGGTGGAAATTCCACAGTGCTATGGTGGGGGGGGAGAGGGGGGAGGCGGCGGCGGCAAGACTTAAGATGCATCGCAGGAGTTGTCGCGGCGAGTACCCGTATGGTGAGGTCCTCCTTGCCCAGCGCCACCAGCACCTCGATGGGGGGGTACACCAACGTTTCGGCCGGGTGGTGCTCCACCGTGGCACGCATCGCGTTCTGCCACGGCACGTAGAGCACGCACAGCACATGCGGGGCATATACAGGGCTTATACAAAAGACAAAGATCACCCGTATAGCCTGTAACAGACTGTTCGGGCAAGTGCTGTTAGCGAGTAGCACCTATGAAGGCCGGCACGGCACACGAGGGGGTGGGTGGCCAACACCACGCCCGGCCACCTTTGTCTCCCGAGTGACGACGTTTACACATCGCACCGGGTGCTCATTTGAGGCTGAGTGGACCTAGGGGAGATCCAGGACTGGTTGGAATATTCGCCACGATTATTGGTCGTGAGCAGGAACTGCACTCGGGTCGCTGGTTTCGTAGCGCAGCGCGTTAACCGCTACACCACCGCTCCCCAACGCATACCCAGAGCTTGTACTCGGCATCCGGCACACGGACTGCAGCCAGCTTAGGTTGTTGTCTTTCCCCCGCACCTCCCATTAGCAAGGTTGGCTACGTACGGTGCGAAAGAAGTTCAACATACATCCACAACACGAGCACGATACAGAACACACGGCGCACGCTGTAGACAACAGGAGACGAACGTGAGCCCAGGACAGTTCACGGGCACAGCCAACAGTGTCACTCCGGTTTCAAAGAAATCACCTGGACATTCCAAGACAGACAGAGTCGCAGCAGCAGACTTACCTTGAAAAGTTCAAACAGCATGTGGTACAGGTGGGAAGGCACATTCACCACGTAGATGGCTTGTTTGGGCGTCTGGGCTGGAAACACACGCACGCAGGCACGCACGTAGGCACGCACGCAGGCACGCACGCACGCAGGCACGCACCCAGGCACGCACGCAGGCACGCACGCACGCACGCAGTCGCGTCAACACCCTGCACGCAGCGCGCCATCCACCCAGCAGTTAACGCTCGAGGGTTGCACACGGATTAGCACCTCCGATTCGCACGGTCCGCTACGTACGGTGCGAAAGAAGTTCAGCGTGCATAGGTACGGACATGCACGCGGTTCGCCGATTTGAGGCAGGCCGCTACGATTTACAGTTGTTTTGCTATCGGTGGCATTTGTTGCGCAATGGTGTCAAGTGCACAACAATCCGAGCCAAGCGTGTTTCCAGTTAGCTTGGCGAATTGTGAAATACGTGAACCCAGACGCTTACAAGTTGGTGCCACACAAAAGTACGCGTCCGTCCAGCGCTCACCGAGCTGCATTGGCTTATGGGTCCTGAACGAATGCATTATTATGAGGCCGCACTCATTACACACGAGGCACTTGCCACAAAATGAACCACAATACCTTGCTGATCTCGTCCAGGAGCAGCGGCTTTTGGCTAAGCCATCGAACAAAGGATGGTCACCGCATCAGTGCGCTTTCAGATGCGCTTCTGCTGGCCGTCTGGAACGGCTCTTCCTTCCGATATTAGGAAGCCACTGGAGCTATGCAATTTTAAATCTCGATTGAAAACTCATTTCTTGAGGACTGCTTTTAATGTTTAGTTTGTTGTCCTTCCACTGCACCTCTGATTAGTGCGGTTGGCTATGTACGGTGGACGAGGGAGTTAACATCTCACCACCGTGGGTTCGATCCCTACCCTGACGCCTGCTGTATATTTTAAATCTACATGCTTCTCCTCGTGCTTTCGTGGATGTCTCTCCGGGTCCTCCCCAGCTTTTTCCCTCCACATTTAGAATCAACATCACGCGTCGAGAGTAGTTGGCTGCTGCTATAGATTTCCACACGATAAGCCACTTCGTAGAGCTCTAATTTGTAATAGCCAGGTCACTTAAAAAAAGTTATTTCGTTGATCAAATAAAATAAAAAATAGTGTAAACATTCCCGGAGGTGATGCGTGGCTGCAGGACATACCATTGCACTCGGTGATTTCCAGTTCAGGGGACGCCAAGTAATACTGGTCACAGAGCATCTTGGCATTCTCAAAGGCATCTGCAGAAGGTGATATTATTTGAAACGGTGACAGAATATTGAGAACAGTTGAGAATTAACTTCAGTTTGTTTGCCTACTTTCATCTCTTGTATCTCACTTGGTGCTGATAAATGTATTCGTGGGATTTACACGAAATGGCCAACCCTTAAAACCTGTTGTGGATACAAACCACAAATGACATCACATTACCCCTTGTCACTCTCCATCAGAGTCCTCCAAAGGTTACAGTTTGGCATTTCAACAAACACTCCACTGGGCAGTGATAGCAAGTGTTTGCGTAATGTGGGCACACTCACACACACCCACAAAAAGCAAAGATAAAGATCCCCTGTATAGTATTAACAGACTGTTGGGACAAGTGCTTTTAGTGAGCACGGCACACAAGGGGGTGGGTGGCCAACACCACGCCCGACCGCCTTTGTCTCCCTAGTGGCGATGCTTACACACCACACCAGGTACTCATTTGAGGCCGAGTTGACCTAGGGGAGGCCAAGGACCGATTCAGATAATCGTCACTGGTGTTGGTGGTTATGAGCAGGAATCGAACTCGGGTAGCTGGATTCGTAGCGGAGTGGCTGCACTACCCCTGACACACACTCACACAAAGACATAGATCCCTCGTATAACCTGTAGGCTGCTGGGGCGAGTGCTGTTAGCAAGCACCTACACTCCCACACACACTCACGCACTTATTCACTGACTCGCACACACAATTATTGACTGACTCTCGCACACACACTCACACACTCATTCACACACTCACACCGACTCACTCAAAGCACATCAGAGGATGGAAACACAACTGTGGCGGAGCGCGCCGAGGCCATGCAACACTTCTCGCATTTTTAAACCATCATAATCGATTGGGAATGAGAACAGATTTCAAATGCACTCTGCCCTGACATCATCAGTAACTGTTGCCATGAATGACGGTGTGTATTCGTCGCACATTCCACGGCATTGGTGGCTGCTGTTGAGTGCTCACCTTTGATGACGCCAACCACGTCGCAGTTCGGGTCGATGCTGCCGATGTGCTTGGGGTGAGCTGGGTTCACTCCCCCTCCAAACAGCAGCGCTGGAGAATAGTTAATAATCACCGCTTAGGCTCTATAGCAAATCACCATCATCATCATCTCTTAGAGTGCAGAGTTAATCATCACCAGTTAGAGTGCACGGTTAATCATCACCACCTCGGCTGTATTTGTCCATAACATGCATCTCCGCGGTCAATGGTTCCCAGCCAGGGATCTACATACTGCTGGTAGTACGAGAGGGTCATGGGAAGTGGTCCTCGGAACTCCCCATTGCACCACTACCACTCATTGCACAACTCTTTCGATCGTATTCACGACTCACCAACACAACTGGCTGTTGACCAAATTTGCCAATTTCTGGCAACGCTGAGAGTAACAAAACGAACGAGCGGGCTATACACCTCCCTCCCAACCGTCAGCCACCGTACGCCCTTCCGGGAGTGAATATTTTCATCCGAAATTGGTTCAACACAAGCAAACTCTGGAACCGTTTTGACATTCGGTGTCTCGCAAGCAGAGTCAGGCTGTTGTTTTTCTCAAGTACAGGGTGGCCAGCAAAACACTACCCGAGGGTTGACGATGACCGACCCCGGGGGTCAACGTCGGTTCTGAACGCGTGCCCCCAGATTACTTCTAGATTTGAAGCTTTCGTGACTGCAAGGATTCATATTCTTAGGTTTCTCCAACCATTATATAAACGGAGTGGTAGCTCCTGCAATCTCTCATTTACTTGATACAGCTGTCGTGGCTGTGACGGTTCCACCTGAAGACGGAAGCTTGTGTTTACTCCGAAACGTCGTGATTTTTATTTTATTTTACTTTTATTAATTTTAATGTTTTACCCCAGATTACATCGCGGCTGTAAACCAAGTCGCGTGCTGCCACTTCAAACTGAGCCACCATTCAGCCACTGAGTAAACTTTCATGAATATTGCGATGCTTTCTCGAGTCTTTTCTTTTTAACGTTTGAAGGAACGCCATCGCGTCGTTAAAGCCCCTTTGAGGCATTTATTGAGGAATAAGAATGTAACTGTTTGAGAAATGTGTTTCGAACGCCTACCTGGGCCGGACTAAAATAGATTTTATTTTCCAATGCTCTTGCCGGAACCACAGTGTTGTGAAAACTAAAAGCTTTTGTCTGCATGCCTTTACTGTTTTGCACTGTACTTGTGTAGTGCTGCTGTACATTTTCCATGCGACTTCTAGCCCAGGTCACCTTTAAAAAAGAGACTTTAGTATCAAGGCCCTCTCACCTGGCTATCCAGGGTATTTATTATTATTACTGATGGGTTCACAATGATGATGTCATCTTGCTCGATTTAAGACCAGAAGCAGGTAGATTGCTTCACCATTCTGGCAAATCGCCCGATGATGCTGGATGTAATTACCAGCGAAACGTTGTACTACTCAAATTTTAAATGTTGTGGATTTACTTTCCAACACACAGGTGGGCTGAAGTAGTAACTAACTGGCACATTGTTTACGTGACAAGTCCCTTACTAATTGGCTGTATCGGGTGGTGGAGGGTTACGACACATTCATACTTACGCGATATAACCCAAAAACCTTGATCATGAAGGATTACTACACTAGTTTACCCTGGAAAGCATCACTTGGGTCTAAAGACTCTTTTTCAGGAGGGTCCTGTTAAGTTTCCACAGTGGGAGGCGATGACTGACATGCTGTTCCCAGCTTAGTAGCTTGCGGGTAATTTTTTTAATTTGGCAAATCTGGACCGCGACGCCAGTACACAATGGCCGACTCTTCTCCGAGTGGCATCATGGGATCTTTAAAGTCCACTGTGAAGCAGGCGGCAGATCGTTTGTGGTTAACAGGCCCGCAGTATGAATCAGTGGCATCTTCCAGGATATCATCCCGAACCTCTCTCTGCAGCAAGCAGCGAATGCGCTCCCGCTGGGCCACGTCACCGCCCCAGGAATGAATTGGGCGCCAAGGTGGCGATAACTTCCTCGCCTGGTGTACGGGAGGTCGTGGGTTCGATCCCAACCCTAACGCGTGTATGTTTGAAGTTTGCATATTCTCCCCGTGATTGCGTGGATTTGTCTCCGGGTCCCTTAGGTTTTTCCCTCGACATTTAGAAACATGCATCTAAGAGTTATTTGGTTACTATAAATTTCCAAATGATAAGTCACTTTGTTGATCTATCATTTCTAGCCAAGTCGCTTCTGAAAAACAGTTATACAAGTCAGTGGGCCTTAGCTGGTAAAATATTAAATAGTTTGTATAATTAATAGTTAGAATGTGATTTTCCTAAACGATAGTAGTACTGCCAGCAGCAGCCAATCCATAAACTCTTACAGTGACGGGGCGGAGACCAACGTGATGATGGCATGACCTCCGATTAGTGCAGTTGGCTACGTACGGTACGAAAGAAGTTTAACACACAACATAAGGATAGGCTTTATCCTTTCTGGAAATAAGATGTTCAAACACCAAATAGATACCGATTGCAAGGCATCAAGTTGGCATTAACCACAGGTACTTGTGGCAAAACATTCAAACACGCTCTGATAATAGAAGCATTGTGTTTTAAACTGATTGACCTACACCGGAGACAGTCTTTGTTATGGCCTCGTCTCACCAGTGTCAGACCAGAGAACACAGAAAGCTGAATAGTTCAACGACAATGCAGATATCAAAGTATTAATTTCTCGGGTAGAGCAGTTATGGCAAAAAGGTCTCAAAGATAGAACTGCTCAACACGAGCTATTAATACTTTGATACTCACATTCCCTTTGTGCTGCTCGCCGATTGGTGTTCTCCGGATCCCGTAGATATACTTACAACATACATACAACAGCTCCAGCTACAAAGACAAAGATTCCCTTAAAGCCTGAACAGACTGTGGGAGCAAGTGCTGTTAGCGAGCACCTATAGAGGCCGGCACGGCACACGACGGGGGTGGGTGGTCCAGCACCACACTCGGCCACCTGTCTCCCTCGTGGCGATGTTGACACACCGCACCAGGTACTCATTTGAGGCCGAGGCGACCTAGGGGAGGCTCAGGACCGCTTCAGATAATCGTCACTGGTTTTGACCGCGAGCGGGTTCGTAGTGCAGTGCGCGACCCGCTTTTCCACCGCTCTAGCTACACACCACGCACGCACTATTTTTATTTTAAATTTTACCAAGCAAGGCAACTGAGCTAAGTACCTCTTTTTCAGAAGCGATTTGGCCACAAATGATAGTTGTTACTCTGCATCTATATCAGCCATACGAAAGATCGTGTGGAAATTTATCGCAGCCAAATACTCCAAAACGCATGTTCCTAAATGTGGAAGGAAAACCAGAGGACCCTGGCAAAAATCCACGCGACCACCGGAAGAAAATGCAAACTCCAAATATAACGCAGGCGTCAGGGTCAGGATCAAACCCACGACCTCCTGTATACCAGGCGAGGTAGTCAACATCTCCTAGCCACCGTGGTGATGAGGATCATGAGAGACGCAAACTCCAAACATACAGCAGGCGTCAGGGTCGGGATCAAACCCACGACCTCCTGTATACCAGGCGAGGTAGTTAACATCTCCTAGCCACCGTGGCGCCAACACACACAAGGCTGTGCCATGCTCTCAGACAGCGCTCACTGTGCTGGTTGATGAGCATGCGGATGGAGATACGGCTCATGTAGAAGCGGTCGAGGAAGTACTGAACGTTGGAGCTGGACACGGGATCCACGCCGTAGGCGTCCTTGTACTCAATCACGCCCTGGGCCATTGTGGGCACCACGTCGTTATGCCGGTTCCGGATCTTGATCAGCGTTTCCACAAAACTGGTGCGATCACAGGGGGAGAGAAACAACACGTGGTTATGATGTCCAGATGTGCAGCTGCACAGCACTCGGAAAAACAAACCACGAGCACGATGAAGCAATCAGAAAAGGCTGAATTACGATCGTTGCAGATCGCATTCCGTGCCGTCACGTATTGAGAGTTTACCGAAAAGCATCCCAAATGGGATACATTACAGATGTAATTAATAGTACACACTACAGTGCTCTTGCAACTGTACTGTAGACACTAGCACCTCTTAGAACATATGTGCTGGAAAGTCACACCCGGGGAAAGCCAACCCTACTCCTATTAGCCCAAGCAGCAAAGGGTGTTTAAACAAGAGCACACATTAAACGTAGCCATCTCAATGACGCCTGTGGTACTTGGTGTGATATTAAGCGTGACGCTTTTGGATGTAACAATAGTCGTGTTATATGATAATGCGGCGGTAGTTGCGTTCCTGAAGAACATCGCGTTCTGGAAAAACCGCGTTATAATAAATAATATATCATATAGAGTAAAGCACAGTCCGTGATAACGTGTGCGATGTGTACGCAGGCTGAACGAAGACTGAGGCGCGTGGGTAGCCTCTAGAAGCATCCAGCAGCATCCCAATGCCTTGTGCGATGCTACGCTGAGGCAGCCGTTGCAACCGCTTAATCAGTACTCGCGCTGTGACGTAGCTCTGTCCACTCGATCGCATAATATCCGATTCGCATCCGTGTTCTAAAAAAATGTGTTCCCTTATACAGTCACCGCGTTATATATCTAATTTGCGTCATTAAAACAAGAAGCGGCGTTATAGGAAGAACAGACTGTCATTTATATTTATGCAACCTCACCTCAAGGGTCTGTGCAGAAAGGATGGGTAAGTACACTGTATCGGGACAAACAGGGGGCCACTATAGGACAGGAAAACGGAAGGGTAACTGCCCTTGGACCTTAACAGGGCCCGGGGAAACCAGTGTGGATCCAGACGGTCCAGTGTTCTCACATACGTGTTGAGAGTTGTGTCTTCCTCAGGGTCCTTGCGTTCGTAGTCGAGCATGTCCAACAGGCTCTGGTTGTACCTGCAAGATAAAGCGGCGTTCCAATCGAACGCAAATCGAGCACACGGAGGGTCATCGACGGGCGAGCTGACCTCTAGCTCGGGATCAACATTTTAACATGGAAGAACGCACGGCTGACCTTGTCCCTAGCGCCGCAACAGAACGCTCCGCCTCCAATGATCTTCGTGAAGCATTCATCCGTGTGCGATAAGAGGCTGATGGCTCCGTGATTCTTATAAGTCAGTTTCATCATATTTTTATAAAAGCAGAATTTTGCGGGAGGGAGATAGATCGTTGCATGGAGATGGTATCTATGTATGTTGAACTTCTTTCGCACCGTATGTAGCCAAACGTGCCAATCGGACATGCGGGGGAAGGACAACAAACTCACAAAATGCAGGTCTAAACATTTTTTGTGTGAAAACTTTGGGAGGCTTTTATCCAGCAGTAGACGGATCAGTACACTGTATTTCATCAATAAATTATATTGTAACTTTTCCCATTTCATATTCACCTTTGCCACTGCAAAAACCATATGAATGCAGTGTTTTAAAAGCCGTCATATTTACATAAAATAAACGATATGTGTAACGCCAATGAATCAGTGACAATACGAATGCTTCCTCGACATGTACTATAAGCGGCAACGCCTGCTGCTTAAAATAGCCATCTTTTCCTATCGTACAAGTTACCAGTTCTCTCTCTCACACACAGCTGGCACACACACACATATGACACGTCGCCTGTCATCGCTTCGCACCGCACACAGATGAAACCCAAGACAACACTGTGCCCACTGTCCGACTCCACGATCTGCACGTCCCCTAACGCTGGCCGCACGATTTTCCAGCAATTACAACAAAAACGATCGCCCGATCGGCTGACCGCACGCATAATGAACTTGGCGTCGGTTTTCGCATCTCGGCGCAGTTGGTTTTCTCGGGTGCTGCGAGGGAGGATCGCGCAGTGTTGCGCCCATCTTAGGTTTCACACGGAGAGACCTTGGCCTGACCGTGACGCCCCGGGCACGGGGCAGATGCCACTCACCAGCTCTGAACGAGGCGTACAGGACGGCGTCTGCAGGAGTTTGTCTGGGAGCAAATTAATCTCCTTCATGATGTTGCAGAGTCGCACCGGGAGCTCATGGCGCAGGAACGTGAAAGACGTTTTCTCACACGCATTCTCCGAGCCTGTCAACACGCGGGGTGGACAACAACAGGCAAATTTAAAGTGTTGCTGTTGTTGTTTGGAACAAATTCAAGGTATCAGGAAAGAGAGTAATAGACCTAACAGAGAATGGGGCTTGACGACGACATCATAAGAGATTGGTGCCAGAAAGACGTGGCACTGCTTGAGCATCGTGGCACAAGACAGAGAGGAAAGTGGAAACAAATGACGACATGTGCAGTGTACACCTACGGGGGCAATCTGCCCATGGAGCGTGATGATGATGATGACCACGCACACACAAAACATGCGATTGCTTTCTTTACCTGTTACCCCCAGCTTTACCCCAATTGTGTTGCCGACGCGATGTCCCATGAAGAAGAATCCAAATTGTAAATCTCGCAGAGCTGTGCAAACCATCATGTTGGAGAATGGTCCGTGGAAGCAGGTGTTACAGAACTACTTCTGAGACCCCTTCCAGTGACATATTTTTCACACTAGGGCACAGCACGCTCCCACCTACCCTGCTATAGATTAATATTCATTGCTTGACAATCGTATGAACATATATTTATTATCCGAGCTGGAATTCAGCCAAATTAACTGCGTAACCAAATGTAACGTGAAGGTCTTTTGGTGCAGTCATTGGTGACGGGGCTGGAACCATAAACCCACTCGACTCAAGAAGCCGGTTTAATCAGTGGCCTTTGCCAGCTAGGCGCTAACCTCCGGGCGACTGGGCCAACTCACATATAACAACAATATATAAGCACACACACACAAGCGCGCGTGTTTTAAGTAAACAAAACTGCCCGCACACAGAGATATCTAAAATAAACATGCATGAGAAATGACATGACCGCAGCAACGAAGTGTTAATGTAACGCCAGACCAACAGTGCTGTCACAGCTCGTGGCAATTCAAACACGATCCTTGCTATTCGTGGTTAATGCGAAATCAGTCAAATGAGCCCAGCACATACAGAGATCACCACCTGAGTTGGCATCACTGTAGAAGTTCCAATTTCTTGATAATGGACAAAATCAGTGAATTCTGTGATAACCATTTGAAAAAGTTTGTTATCAAAAGCATCCTCTCTCTTAACCCAAATACATCGGTGCGATTAAAACGCTCTGCGACCTTCGGTGGTACAGGTATCCGTGTCTAGTCTGGCCAATGGATTAGGTTTCATGTAGGCAAACTGCGTAGGCCACATTTGACATCCTTTGTCTCATCAGCAGCCAGGCTTTGCTTCTTGAACCGATGCTGGCGAACTGACAGCGCTTTCCGATGCGCTCTTCTGTGGCCGTCTGGAACGCTCTTCCTTCCGATATTAGGAAGCCACTGGAGCTACGCACTTTCAAATAATCTAGACTGATTTCTTCAGAACTGCTTTTTGAGGTTTAGTTGTTGTCCTCTCCCCGCATATCCGATTCGCACGGTTGGTCAAGTACGGTGCAAAAGATGTTTAACATACATTCCACATGGCGGGCAACAGCAGGGAGCAAGCAGGGAGCTATGGGCAGAGGAACGAAGGGTAGCAGGGTGTCGAGTGCGTGGGGAAGTGATAGGTCGATCTGGCGGTAGCAAGCAACGTCCAGCACGGGTCCAGCACGGGCGCAGCGGGGTGCGGGGGTGCAGCACGTGCGCAGCACGGGTCCAGCACGGGCGCAGCACGGGCCCAGCACGGGCGCAGCACGGGCGCAGCACGGGCCCAGCACGGGCCCAGCACGGGCCCAGCACGGGCGCAGCACGGGCGCAGCACGGGCGCAGCACGGGCGCAGCACGGGCGCAGCACGGGCGCAGCACGGGCGCAGCACGGGCGCAGCACGGGCGCAGCACGGGCGCAGCACGGGCGCAGCACGGGCCGCAGCACGGGCGCAGCACGGGCGCAGCACGGGCGCAGCACGGGCGCAGCACGGGCGCAGCACGGGCGCAGCACGGGCGCAGCACGGGCGCAGCACGGGCGCAGCACGGGCGCAGCACGGGCGCAGCACGGGCGCAGCACGGGCGCAGCACGGGCGCAGCACGGGCGCAGCACGGGCGCAGCACGGGCGCAGCACGGGCGCAGCACGGGCGCAGCACGGGCGCAGCACGGGCGCAGCACGGGCGCAGCACGGGCGCAGCACGGGCAGCAGTCCAGCACGGGCGCAGCGGGGTGCGGGGGTGCAGCACGTGCGCAGCACGGGTCCAGCACGGGCGCAGCACGGGTCCAGCACGCGTGCAGCACGGGTGGGGTGCACAGCGGGGAGGGAGGCCGCTCTCACCGAAGTCCATGAACTGCTTCATGGAGAGTGGCGAGGGCGAGAAGCGGGAGTAGTGCTCGATGTGGCGCGGGATGCTGCCCGCGCCACTCTGCAGCAGCGCGCGAACCAACCTCATGGTGCGCGGAGAAGGAGGGGGACACAGAGACAGAGGGGGACACCGGGGGGAGACGGAGACAGAGGGAGACACAGGGGGGGGAGACAGAGGGAGACACGGGGGGGAGAGGGATACCGGGAGGAGACGGAGACAGAGGAAGACACCGGGAGGAGACTTGGAAGGGCTGGGGGAGCAGGCGGGATACAAGGGTCTAGAAGACGGAAAGACGCCGAGATACCGGGAGATTCCAGGCAGAGACGGGGGGGGGGGGAGGGGAGACACGGAGAGACACGGGGATCCTGCGGGAGACACGGGGAGAGAGCGAGAGACACGGGGAGAGAGCGAGAGACACGGGGAGCTCGAGGGGCCGACGAGACGGGGAGCGCCGCGGTGACGCCGCCGATCCTGCGGGGTCCCAGGCCCGCACTGCGCGGCACCGCCGGGGGAGGTCACGTGAGCCGGGGGAGGTCACGTGAGGCGGGAGACGTCATCAGCGCGCGACCCGCGGTGGTTGTAGTTGGTGTGGTGGTTGTTGTTGTAGTGGTTGGAGTTGGTGTGGTGGTTGTTGTTGGTGCGGTGATTGTTGTTGTGGTGGTTGGAGTTGGTGTGGTGGTTGTTGTTGTGGTGGTTGGAGTTGGTGTGGTGGTTGTTGTTGGTGCGGTGATTGTTGTTGTGGTGGTTGGAGTTGGTGTGGTGGTTGTTGTTGTAGTGGTTGGAGTTGGTGTGGTGGTTGTTGTTGCTGCGGTGATTGTTGTTGTGGTGGTTGGAGTTGGTGTGGTGGTTGTTGTTGTGGTGGTTGGAGTTGGTGTGGTGGTTGGAGTTGGTGTGGTGATTGTTGTTGTGGTGGTTGGAGTTGGTGTGGTGGTTATTGGTGCGGTGATTGTTGTGATTCTTGTGGTTGTTGTAGTTGGTGTGGTGATTGTTGTGGTGGTTGGAGTTGGAGCGGTGATTGTTGTGGTGGTTGTTGTAGTTTGTGGTTATTGTGGTGGTTGTTGTGGAGGTGATTGTTGTTGTAGTGCATGACTCGCTGATGAGTTAAATTCTCGACGATGGCAACTGGCCACAGTCAAGCGCATCAAGCCAAATGCCCGCCGGGGCTGCCTGTCCCGTGCGACGACTCATTGCCATTCGGGCTGAGAGGATCGAACCTGGCCCCCACGCGATCCTTCGCACACTGCTGCTGTATATTTGGAGTTTGCTGTGTCTCTCATCACCATCACGGTGGCTTGGAGATGTTAACTACCTCGCCTGGTGTGCAGGAGGTTCGTGGGTTCGATCCCGGACCCTGACGCCTGCTGCTGTATATTTGGAGTTTGCTGTGTCTCTCATCACCATCACAGTGGCTTGGAGATGTTAACTACCTCGCCTGGTGTGCAGGAGGTCGTGGGTTCGATCACTGACCCCTGACGCCTGCTGCTGTATATTTGAAGTTTGCGGTGTCTCTCATCACCATCACGGTGGCTTGGAGATGTTGACTACCTCGCCTGGTGTGCATGAGGTCGTGGGTTCGATCACTAACCCCTGACGCTTGCTGCTGTATATTTGGAATTTGCGGTGTCTCTCCCCGTGGATTTTTTTCTCCGGGCCCTCCGGTTTAGAAACACGCGTGTAGGGCATTTGGCTGCTATAACATTTCCGCGTGATAAGCCACTGCGTTCAGCTTATCGTTTGTGGCCAGGTCGCTTCCGACAAAAGAGCTTACAGTAGTAATGTGGCTCGGTGGGCCTTCACCCGGTGAAATACATAAAATTGTCAAACAGTCGTAGGCTCGGGCTACCAGCAGATGGCAGCACGTGGCGCTCGCCCTCGTGAAACTGGAGGTAAATCAGCTGGCGATGCAAAAGCTCCCGGGATCGTGGATGCTGATCGTCGATGATGTTTGGCGAGTTGTTACTCCTCTGGTGCTTATGAGGTCACCCCTCCGCATTAAATTAATTGGCACTAAACCACAAATATATCTCTAACTAAGCTTGTGCCAGAGGCCCCGGGGGGGGGGGGGGGAGAGGCTGCTATGACGTCTTCTGGCAAAATCACAATTGGCATAGCCAGGAGACTGAAACCTTTACCCTCGGTGTTTTTTCAGAAGTGGCAGTAAACCACTGTGAGTGGCCACGTGGAGGAGAGGCTGCCACTCCTCTGTTGGGAGGTGAACCGGTACTACCTGGATCTCTGGCATTCAGGAGGTCCGGTGGACTGGTTCTGGCTCCAGGCACCATGAGCAGTGGACAGTCCTCTATTTGGAGGCAGGAGACTGTCAAACAACATCACACACACTACAATCACCACACGCGGGACTAGCCCAATAGCATAGCCACCCCCACCCTGGCTCCTTCCATATTGATTTCCATCCCGGCAGTCCTCATGGGATGACCTCGCTCACAGTTTCCAGGACATGGAAGGGGGCAGCTGACCCAGGGTGTGGGAGCGGGAGGGGGCGTGGTGCAGACAATGGATGAAGCCTGCCTACCAAAATGCCAAGTCTCAAGGCCACCCTGTTAAGAGGATCAATCAAGGTTATCATTTAATATATACCATTGTTATACATATAATGAAATAAACCCATGACTCCAACTAACATTGCATTTCGATTTAAAGCTTTCGTGACTGCAGGGATTCATTATTGGTTCTTTCGGTAAAGTCACTGTAGAAGGGAAATAAAAATAAAACAATAAAAATTCTCACGATGTTTCGGCCACAACGCAAGCAGCCGTCCTCACGTGAAGACCAGCTTTTGGGAAGAGCGTCCGAATGAACACTGCTCAGCTTGGCAGCGTATTTTAAGCTGGGTGGGAGGAGGAGAGCGCCTTGACAAAGGAGTTTACATATCAACAGGAATTTAGCATGTTGATGACAAATGCAGGTATGGAGTTAGTCACTCCTTGTGGAATGTGTAGGTGATGGGGGGTCTCAAAGTCATTATGCTGGTGTATTATGTAGGATTAGCAGTAATGAAGGAAGGGAAATTTTAGTAACAAAGAACTGCAGCAGCCAAACCACCGCGTATCAAGCTAGTGCACTAGCAAGGGCCTGAGTCACATCGCTGCAGACGTAGCAAGATCTGAAATCGCTGCAACCCTCAAAAACGCTAAGATGCCAGCTAGCAACAGCAAAGATGAGCGTTTTGAATTATCTCAATTAAAAAAGAGGGATGACATTGTCATCCTCTCAGCCGACAAGGGCAATGCCACTGTCATCATGGATAAAATATAATATAACAACAAAATTAAACTAAACGATGGCAGCTATACAAGAATAAAAAGAGACCCCACCAACAGCCTCGTCATAAAAAAATAACAAAATAATTTCTGATTCAACCGCATTAATTTGAGTTTTTGCTCCGCTGCAAGTTTCCTTCTACCACTCTCCCAGTGACATTTATTTGCTTCCTCTTAGTACCTTTCACGCGACGGTCAATGGTATGGTGTATAGTAAATTGTTTAATAATAAATAGTATAATAGCGTAATTCTAGATTTGAAGCTTTCGTGACTGCAAGGATTCATATTCTTAGGTTTTTTCGGTAAAGTCACGTAGGTAAAACATCAAAATTAATGAAAATAAAATAGAATAAAAATCACGACGTTTCGGAGGCAACACAAGTCTCCGTCATCAGGTGGGACCGTCACAGCCGGATTAGCTGCATCAAGTGAGGCAATGATTCAAGATGTAATCCCTTAAAAGCAAGTTGAGGGGGGAGGAGAGGGGGGGGGGCTCATCAGAATGTGGTAGCCAATGAATGGAACGTATCGGGAGGGAGGGGGGCGGGGCTCAAAGACGGCACGGAGTGCCAAGTACAACACATCGGGAGGGGGAGGGGGGCGGGGTCAAAAGAATGGACGACGGCTTGGACGCGGTTGCTGCTGCACACGCCAACGCATTGGACAGAGAGGGGGAGGGGAGGCCTGATACACATGATAGAAAAAAGAACGAAAATGCCCATGTTTATACCAATGCTGGCTTAACAATGAAGAGAGTACTGTTAAACACTGGGGATGTTAACACTCGGTAAAGTAAAGTAAGATAGTGCCTGTCAGATAAGATGGTCCAAAAAAGTGTAATTAAGTCTTTTTTGCGTGGTTGATAACATCTTTCCAATGATTACTAAGTTTGTACCCATCATCACGGTTGAAATTATGTCTGTGTTTGTATATTTGTATGGCTTCGTGTACAAACCTTTGATGGTAGCCGGGAGGTTTGCAGAGGTTCTCTGCAAACCTTTGATGGTAGCCGGGAGGTTTGCAGAGAACCTCTGCAAACCTCCCGGCTACCATCAAAGGTTTGTACACGAAGCCATACAAATATACAAACACAGACATAATTTCCACTAATGTCACTGAAATACCCCCTATTTTTTCAGGTATAAATGATGAGCCTCCAGATGCTGCTATCATTCTATGTTTCAACTTTCGAATTTGGGGTTTTGACACGCCAAACTTATTTACTGGAATTGCTTCCAAATTAACCTGAATATCTTCAATTAATTTAACTCATCGTTTGTGATGGTGTCAGATTTTGTGTTTATGTTCATGTCCACTGTTATTTAACGAATGCATACTCTTTGGGTATTTCGGTAAAGTCACGTAGGTAGAAACTTAATAAATTCTGATGTACCGGCCCTGGTGAGACACTGCCTCACCAACACTTACTTCACTTGGAATGGAACATTCTACAAACAAGTTGAAGGTACCCCAATGGGTTCTCCCTTTTCTCCAGTGGCAGCTAATGTTTTCATGGAAAATTTTGAGACAGATGCCATCCAGGCATCCATCCTACGTCCTTGTGGAAGAGATGCATAAATGACACGTTTGTCATCTGGCCACATGGCCTGCCAGCTCTGAACCAATTCTTCAACCACATCAATTCCATACACCCAGCCATAAAATTCACCATGGAGGTGGAAAAGGATGGAAAGTTACCATTCTTGGATGTTTTAATCAAAAAAAGACCTGATGGCTCAATGGGACACTCTAAAGCCACCCACACGGATGCATATCTACAACCTGACTCCCACCATCATCCAGCCCAGAATAATTCCCTCATCAAAACTCTACACCATAGGGCTCGTTGCATTTCCGACCATCACCACCTAGCCAGTGAACTGGAGCACGTACACGAAGTCCTCAAGATGAATGGATATTCGGACTACACAATCCGTAAAGCTATCACCCGAACCGTTGGGAGAGAACCACCTGATGACCCAATCAAAACCATCACCTTGCCATACATAGCAGGGGTCACCAAAAATATTTCCAAAATCATGAGCAAACAAGATCCAGGTCCGGTTCAACACAGTACATAAGATTCGTGATCTGATCCAATCTGTGAAGGATGTGATCCCTGACAGGCAATACCCCGGCGTCTACAAACTAAGTTGTGCCTACGGCAGCAGTTACATTGGGGAAACTAAGCGACATGTCTCAGACCGTGCTCACGAACATAAGGCGGATCTGAAACGGTATGACCAATACTTATGCCGTGGCTGATCATTGTTTTAACGCTGTGGGCACCCATGAAATTGATTTTTCCAAGACGATGCAAACCCACTGGCTATCAACAAAGATATGCAAATCCTTTTGTCAAGGCGCTCTTCTTCCCCCTTCAACCCAGCTTAAATATACACTCCAAGCTTGGTGGTGTTTCATTCTTCACCTGAGGACGGCTGCTTGCGTTGTGGCCGAAACGTCGTGAGAATTATTTTATTATGTTTTATTTTTTATTATTTTATTACTTCCCTTCTACGTGACTTTACCGAAAGAACCAAGAAGAAGATCAACAAAGATTTGTTCATGAAGCCATCCAGATATATAAACACAGACACAATGTCAACCGAGAAGATGGGCAGAAACTGGGCCATAACTGGCTGTGATGCTTCCATCCTACCTGCCGAAGTTAGCAGTTATTTCCGACTCTGAGTTACATTACCTTGTTAATTAACAGGCTAAATGTCTCACTAATAGAGCTGCTGCTCCCTTTTCCTCAATGCGGCGGTGGCGCTCGTTGTTTAATAGGCTGAATGTCTTTCATTAAAACAGCCGCTGCTGCGGGATCCGTCTCACATTGACACGCTAATCTTAAATCTCGAACAATACAATGGGTTATTCAGCACCGTAGTCGTGGGGTTACATTAACAGATTGAGATGCTAATCTCTAGCAACACAATAGCCAAGGTATACCTAGCTCTGCGATCTTACATTTACTTGTAAATTCCATCTCTAGCCCCGCCCACTTACCCTTGGGTTGTACCCATCTCAAACCTATATAACCTTTGGCTGCAGTAGTTCTCTCGCTATATTTCTCCTGCCTCAGCAGTCTGCGTGCTGTATTTTTTCACCTGAAGACGATTGCTTCTGTTGCGATTGAGACGTCGTGATTTTTTGTTATTTTTCTGTCTACGTGATTTCACCGAAAGACCCAAAGAGTATGAATTCCTGCAGTCACGAAAGCTTTAAGTCAAGATTTAAGGAATGGTTGAATTATTTATATTTCTGATGTTTTTAATTGAAAATAATTCGAGCGAATCAGTCTATGTATTATTAAATACACTGTCTACCGTTTCACATTCAGCCAATTCATTACTATTCCCGGTAACTTTTACTGAAATAGATTTTAACGAATCAGTTCTTTCATGAACGGCCGATTCTTTAGTACTTCTGGTTTTTATATCTCTCATGCGCCCACCGCCCTCCCTATCGGCAACCACGGCCAAGCTGCTCCCACCGCTCCATGCGGCCAAGATGAGTCCACATGGAGTCTCTCCCTCCACCACGAGCAGCACCAGATCCACCAGGGGCGGTCACTATTCCCGTCATCGCTGACCCCAGGAGCAGCAGCAGTGCCTCCATCAACGGCACTCGGGGCCGCTCTCAACAGCCGTAGAAGGCCCATGGCAACTGCCACGAGCGGCTGCCACAGCAGCAGAAGCTGGGCCACATCTGCTGGCCCCAGCAGCAACCTCGCCTCCAGCGGGACTCGGGCCACTCAGCAGCAGTTGGCCCATGGAAATTGCCACGAGTGGCTGTTACAGCAGCAGAAGCTGGGCCACCTTTGCTGGCCTCAGCAGCAGCCACGCCTCAATCAGCGACACTTGGACCACTCTCAGCAGCAGCAGTAGCAGCAGCAGCAAGCCCATGGCAACTGCCACAAGCGGCTGCCACAGCAGCAAAAGCTGGGCCACATCTGCTGGCCCCAGCAGGTGCAAATAATGTGTTTATGTTCATCATGAATGATGCATTAAGACATTACTGCACGCTTTGGATTTTATTCTGGTCTTCCATTATAACTGTAAGTCATTATTTCTTTATCGAAATGTTTTATAATTCATTTTATTTTGATGCTATTTCTTTATAATAGTAGTTGGTAATTGTCTATGGAAAGTAATATTCTTATATGTATTCTTTACCTGATGTGTTATGGTGTTATTCTCTTTATCGTGAAACTAATTTTTATATTCAACATTCTTAATGTTGGTGGTTCTTTAAATTTAGCATGTAATATCTCACAAAAATGCCATGATAGATTGTTATCATTTGGTATTAAATTAGATTTGGTTGAACTTCTGTTATGACGATAGTTGACAATATTATGGGTGTCTGTTGCTATGGTAACGAATGCCCCGCGGCGTTTCCCGTTTGAGCCGTTTGTGAAGAGCACAATGGACATGTGACCTTTCCACCACTTTTAAAACATGTTATTTCTGTATTAAAATCCCTCCTTACATTTTGCTCCCTTTTATAATATATTCCATGTGGTTGCTGATTAAAAAATATTATTTTCCCCAAGTTGCTGAATCCCTAATTCTATTCTTTGTAATGTGCACACCATTAGTTGTTCTGCACTTGGCCCTACTGCAGCAATTACATTTTCTGACTACTTTCTCCATATCATTTCCAACGACTCTACTTTGTGATATATTACCCTTTAATTTTATACATTTCCAATATTGTCTGCTACCCGTTGTGAATTTGGCGATCCTTCTGAAACTATTGGTAAACCAATTGTGTGTACTTTTGCATATTCTTTTAACCTTGCGATTACTATGGGAATGCATTATTTGCCAACGATGTTAATTTATTGTATACGTAGAGATTGATAGAGATCCTTTCCCCTCTTTTTAAATATAGAAGTCGTTTATTTCGGTGCTGTTGGAGATTTTCTGTAGTGTAAACTCATTTCATGTAATGCAGATGTCAATGTTTTTCTTTTGTTTTCTGCAATTAATGACAACTCCGTGAATGAATCATCATCCAAATACATCGGCAATTCCCATAGAGCTGCTATTTTAAATCTTTCCCAGTCTGGTTTGGCACAGTCAGATATTGGAGGTACCCGAGATGGCCTTGTGAGCTGACGTCAACGAACAGGCATCAACTTCATCACTTCATTCATTTCGTTCCTCTTCGATGTCTCGGATGGATGTGCCTCCTCTTGTTCCTGGCACGTCTTCTAAGTTCATAAAAGAAAACCGCTGTCACCAAATGTAACTTCGCTTAAATTGCGCTATATATTAACAGTATACGACTGACAATCGTGTATATTTTGTAGCCAGAATGGGTAACACATTTAATAAAATGTATTTCTTCACAGTTGTAATAATCGGTAACTTGTTGTTAATTGTTTTTTTACCCTTTTATCTGGAAACAAAACTGACACCTTTTTTTACAAGGAGTCAAAAAACCATTTATCATATTTTGCTACTGGCAATGGAGGTTCCAATGGCGGTAATTGTTGTTTACACTCCAATACTTATTTATCCTATGAATTCATATGGAGCTCTCACAAAAGACCTACTCCCTGTCCTCTCCAGGATTAACCACTTTCCAACTGCTGTTTAACCCCTTCTTATTATTACACGCTTTTATTTAACTAACTCAGATTGTCTGTTGTTGTTGTCGTTGTATGCTCAAATCTTGTAACTAAAATTTAACCCACTTCCCAATATGGTATCGACTGCAAACTTGGTATACTTATGTCATACTGATGACAATACTATATTCTATCATGAAAAAATTAAACATGAATTTTTATGTTATGTTTCGGCTTGGGTCTAATTGTCCACGCTCAACTCACGGTGGCTGTAAATCACCACGGTCCCTTACGTTATGGCAAGCTTCGGGGCCACTTCCTGGAGTCGTTGAGTTCTGCCATTACGAGTAGGGTACATTTCATGAAAGCGTGTTTCTAAAAAAGTATTTTTAAATATTACTTATTATATCTACTCTCATACTCCCTGCATTGCACCAGCTGACAGCCTGTAAGCTGTCAGTTAACTGCCGCAACTGACAGCTCCCGCGGCTGTCGGCCAATCACACTCCACTCCACACCCACGTGCTGTAGGAGCAGGGCTCTGTCCACTCAGTGGTGCTGATCGTGTTCACGTTCAGCACGATAAGTCGGGAGCCACATCCCAGCAGTTCTCCGTCGTGGGATCACCTCCCTCCACCATACAGCCCCTCAATCTCGCCATATGGTGTTGCATAATAATCAAATCCATTGACACTGTCTTGTTTTGTGAATAGTTCTTTGCCGCCCGGAAAGAGTTTGTTGGAATAACATTTTACTTTTGTTTGTTTTCCACTAAAACAGAATGCTTGCCAGAAGAATCTTGGGGGGCGGGGGTGCTGGGGGCGGGGGTGCTGGGGTGCTGGGGGCGGGGGTGCTGGGGGCGGGGGTGCTGGGGTGCTGGGGGCGGGGGTGCTGGGGGCGGGGGGGCGGGGGTGCTGGGGGCGGGGGTTCCCCGGATGTGACGTCACGACCGGTGACGGGAAGTGCCGTTTTGGCGCGAAACGAGCGCAAATTCAGTTTCCCCGCGGGCGCGAAGCGTTCATTGCTGAGGTAAAAATTGTTACAAAAATACATTTACGTTGTAAACACAAAAATATCAAGAAACAAAACGCTGTATATACAAGCACCAATGAAATCGTATCGGTAAACGGAGCTGCTTATAGAGCAGCCAAATTCGATAGTTATATTAAAAATACTGTAATTTTTTGCCAAAGAATAATATCACTACACCTCTGCTCCAAATTAACTTCTGAGGTAGACCAAGCGGCTTCTTTTTCAATAAATGTCCCTGTAACAGTGTTCTGAGGGGGTGGTGATACCAGCACCACGCCCGGCCGTCTTTGTCTCCCCAGTGCTGATATTAATTACACCACCCCAAGTACTGTACTGATTTAAGGCTGAGTCGACGTAAGCGAAACCCTATCAGTACTGGTTCTGTAAATCAATCGCCTCTGATGTTGGGCCGTGAGCGCTAACCACTGCGCCACCGCTCCCCCACAGGAACGCATTCAGTACTCGGACATGCACATAGAAGCATGGAGTTTAAATAATAATAACAATATTCTGTTTTTTCTTGCTGTGGTTGTCCCCCTGATGACGATTGCTTGTGTTGCGATCGCAACGTCGTGATCTACCTACGTGACTTTACCGAAATCACCAAAGAGTTTGGATTCCTGCAGCCACGAAAGCTTCAAATCTTAATAAACACTCAGGCAGTTCTAGATTTGAAGCTTTCGTGACTGCAAGGATTCATACTCTTTGGTTTTTTCGGTAAAGAAAAAAGTGATTTATTATTTTATTTCTATTATTATTTTTATTATTTATTTTTTACCGACGTGACTTTACCGAAAAAACCTAAGAGTACTCAGGCAGTTGCTCTTGTGTCTTGTTAGAGTCGCCATGGACAGCTTCAGTATGCAGACCGTAAAGGACGAGGTGGAGAAAATTTACCAAAGTAAGCAATGCCATCCTTGCCTTGCCCTGACACCACCTTCCCTGCCCTTCCCCTCATCCCTTATTTTCGTGTTGTCAGAGTCCTTAGGGGCCATCCATTTAGTAGGTACGCAAAAATCTGTCAAAACTTGACCCTTTACCCCCCTCCCTGTAGGCACGCGCACTTTTACACCCCCCCCCCACCTGCGTACTTAGGCTTGACGCACCCCCCCGAATCCTATAGAACGGCCGATATTTAATCCACGCAGAAAGGATACATTTTATTTACGTGTTTAAGCAAAAATTATACCGCCGGGCTATCTAACTCATTTGAAGGCCAATGTAGACAAATGACACTATGTAACACAATTTTTGTTCCTGGGTACTAAGTGTTATTTTTTAATTGCTTATGCCTAAAAAGTATAGAAATTGGATATTATTCCCCACAAACTTTGCTTTTGTGACCAGGACTTTATGTGAACGAAATACACAAATGCACATGTTTTCTCATTGAAAATAGGTACATTTCAAAATATCATTGTCCTGGTCACAAAAGCAAAGTTTGTGGGGAATAATAGCAATTTTCTGTATTTTTGAGACATAAGCAATTAGGAAGTAACACTTACTACCCAGGAACAAACACCTTTTTTTTTTTACATAGTGTTTTTATCGAGGCTTCACAACCCCCCCCCCCCCCCCGTTTCCTATGCGTATGTACATTGTTAGTAGACCTCCCCATAAGCAAGCGTACGCATTTGGGTTAACCCCCCCCTCCATGCATACGTACTAAATGGATGGCCCCTTCCTGCCTGTTTTAACCTCAATGAACGACCTTACCCTCCCTGTCATGCCTGCTCATTACTGCATTTCCTGCCCTACCCTCACTGCCATCCCTTTTTATGTTCTCTGCCCTCTGGTTCTAATAATATACCATCGAAACGTATCAGTGTTAAAAGGGGAATGTCAATTTTAACCCAGTTAAACTTTTTTTTCTGGAATTTCATCCTTAAACTAAAGTTGCCCCTTTGTCCTTGTTTGGGTTACGTTTCTGAGACCCGTTTGTAAGTCGATGTTTTCGTATCTCGGAACTCAATACTTAATTGTACATACGGTCAGTGTTATAAAATGTGTTATAGTTCACTAAAAAAGGGACGTATGTTGTGCATCACGCGGGATGCTGGGACCCATTACATCCTGTGGAGGATTGCTCCGCCAAACAAAATAGTTCTGCATCTTTTGTCCGTAAGTACGACCGAATGCTTGCAAGTCGGATGGTTACAAATAATAACGTGTTACGGCAGTTTGTAGTGCGGATGTTCGTAAGCCGGACTTCCGTTTCTTTGGGACTGCCTGTACCTGCTTTATAGTCTATTCCTGTGTTTAACAAAATATTTGTGAAAAATTAGATTTTGTTCTGGGTGTTAATTTGGCCTTGTGCTCATCTCATGGTATGGGCAAAGGGTGTAGGGAACTGAGTAGTGGGTGTGGTCAGACTACCTGGGTAGTGGGTGGGGCTACCTGGATAGTGGGTGGGGCTACCAGGGCAGTGGGAGGGGCTCCCTTGGCGGGGTTTGCAGGCGGAGTTTGTGGAGCCTATGAGCATTCGCTGGGGCCATTGTTAGAGTAAGGACTGTGGGCCGAGCTAGTGGTTGAGTGGGTGTGGCTATATGAAAGTGGGCAGAGCTGAAGGAGAGGCGGTGCCAGCCCACCACCATGTGTCTCGGTTGAGCTTCCCATAAAAAATTGTACCTCTGTTACTTATTCTAGTCACTAGCTCACTGGTGGCTAATCACCTTCTAATCACTGTTTTATCGATAATACGATAGTTACTGTTGCCGTTTTGTGGACTCATTCTCAGAGACTGTTGCATGTCGTCCATACAGTGTTCATCCACCACTCTGCAGATCAAAATACTCCTTTATGCTTCTTTCCCATGCACTGCTCCACCTTGGAACTCGCTCCTTCGTCTCCTTCCTCCCTTTTCTCAAGCTCTTATAATAACCAAATAAAAAAAGTGTTAACGTTTACCTATTACAAATTAGATTAAGCTTTGTGTTATTGACCACTCGACGTTATGGGCCTTGGATCTGTGCTCAGTGATGGTATTTAAAGGAAACAACAAAACATAGTTTATGATCATCTTGACATTTGCAGGGATATTGTTCGCGGAAAAAACCATTCCGGTGTTGAAGCAACGGAATTTTCTCTCGACCAAGGATTTAAACATTGGTGAACAGCCCCAGCACCACACACATATCAGCACAACAGCTGCCATTTAACACAAAGTGGTGGTTACATCTCTACAGCGCTTGTGCCAGGATAGGTGCACTTTGAGGCCACGGGACATTTAGAAGGCTCCCTAGCAGGAGGTGACAGGATACGATTGTGCCACCCTTGCTGCGTTTTAGCTGTCCGGCACTCCGCTTGTTGTGCGTCGCTCCTCTGCACTCCAGTGTTGTCAGAGAGGAAATGCCTCCAACTGCCCAGTAGCAACCTTCACGGGTCGTCTCCACAGAGGCCTATTTTGACACCACTGGTACCAGTCATTGGCAAGCCGACTCAGCTCCACATTTTCCTGTACCATATTCCATTATGTTAGTCCATGCCATGTCCATTTAATCCCTTCTATCCAGCCAAACAGAAGCTGCTTGGACATGCGGTGGCTCGGCATGCGTGCTACATGACCCTTGCAAATACAGCCTCACCTGGTAGAGCAGCTCTGATGGAACCGTTCAGATCTTTCAAGAATCTGTGAGCTCCTCGCACAAGCCCGTCTACTTTATCCCGGGAGAATCATAGCCTGGCGAGCCTGAATGTTTAAAGCCATTGCAGATGTTCTTTAAAAGGGTTCGATGTTTTGTAAGCATACACAAGGGAGCGCTTAATTGTGACAGAGAAGACCCGGCGTGTCATAGGGAACGATAGGCCAGGGAGCTTCCATACAGCGTTACGCAGTCAAATTAAAGTGAATGCTACTAAACTGATTTGGAGTGACACCTCTGCTGGCAAACTGGAGCTGGTCATAAATATACTGCCCAGGTATTAAAACGTTCCACTCTATCCACAAATGCCCCTTCACTCATGGAGAGTTGAGGGGGTGGATTATATGATTACGTAACATACCCAGGCAGGTGCTTTGTTTTTTGGGGGCTGATTTTCAGGCCCCTTCTGAGTAGCATGATCCAGGTTCAGCTGCAGAGTCTCCAACTCTTCATAATGAGCAGGAATCACCACATCATCTGCATACGGAACATGGAATGCTTCTTGAAATATATGGTCAAAATATGTTTTATAGTGCAGGGGCCATCAGACATCCCTGTTGTACCCCAAGGTGAACAGATAATAGCTCTGGCTAGCTTCCACGCAGCTTTATCCAGGTTTGCCCACCATCATGAAGGTCTTTAATAACTGCGCAGAGGGTCAGAGACGCCAAAAGCACAAAGAATAACCCAGAATCATGGCCTTTTAATAGTATCATAGCCTGCCTGGGAAGGCAACTTTGGATAATCCATGCCAGAATCTTTCCTGGCACACTGAGGAAGGAGATACCCTGATAATTGTTGGAAACAATGCGGTCTCCCTTCTTAAAAAAAGCTGACTGCCAGAGAATCTTTTAGTCACGCACAATAGAAGCACAAACAACCCTTGGCTTTAGTCAGCCCTCCCACAAATCCCACGAGTAATACTCCTGAGCGTGTGCCCTGTGTCTCCATCTTCTACTTCGTTGTGTTACAGCAATCACGTCGCTATCTCGCATGACGGTGGCCTACCACAAGACGATGGGTAAGAATGTGGAGCAGCCATGAGTCGGCAGCAAGGGAGGGTCACGCGTATCCTTGTTAGAGGGAACCGATCCCCAGGCGCTAATCCCTGGTCCCCCCCCCCCCTCCGTGTGTGTGTACGCATCTCCCTCAGCCAGGATGCATTGCCTCCAGTTCAACATTGACCACCAGCAACAGATTTTCTCCAGGTGCCCCGTACATACCACATACACTGCTACGTGGCCCAGCAGTAGCAGGCTCACTGCTGCTTGCAGAGGTTCACAGTTTTAATCCAGAACCTAGAGGGTCCACAAAAAAATGCTATTAACTGTATCCCTATTTGTATGGTTTCCCATTATGCATCGCGAAACAGCTTCTTATTAATTCCAATGTTTTGCAGATAAGAGGAGTCTTGTCAGCAAATTCGTTGTATCATCGATTGGCTAATTCGTCATGCAAAGTGGTCTCATCCAGAACTTCTCTTATGGAGCAAGCCGCTTTATTCATGGGCAAACCAGTGTCCATTCACCTGTCCATTCATTTGTATTTGAGTGGACATTGGCTACATTCCAGAGATTGACTGGAATGTAATGAACATTGCTCTCAGTGGCAGAGCAGGTAGGAATATGCTGTCCTGTCGTTTTGGAAGTTATATAATTGGTTTGATACTTGCTCTGTCTCGGGTATGATTGAGTCATTATACAGGATGACAAAAGCCAGCCTCATTGTCCAGATCATTTAATGTCTTGTTTGTAACGAATGGATTTGACACCCTGTTCAACCAAACACACGGTAAAGATTTTAATGTAAACAAGTCTGTTATTAAGAATGACACTCAGTCCAAAAAATACTTCATACTGTTAAAAAAAAATTGACTTAACTATTGCACATCTGTGAAAAACCGCTTCATAGCTCATTGCATTCCTCCAGTCTAAATGAAGATTCTGATCTCAGAATTTGGGTTAATACGAGACCACCCACTGCACGCTACGATGATTTGAATTAAGCAAACAACACAACAAAGGCAATTGTCTTGCAGGAAAGGAGCGTCAACAGGCGGGATGAAGCCATGTGCAACAACGGATTTTCAAGTGTAGTTTTAGTACACAATACCCATCTTTGCTGAAGAGCGTGACAGTATTTTATAATTTAAAACTCCATCTCCCCCCCCCCCTTTTCACGATTAAAAACCCCCCATGATTACTCCTTCCCACCTTCTCTGCATGGTGATTAATTTGCAACAATTAACGTAATCTGGTTGTCTTCATTCAACAATTTATTGTTGTACCTATAACAGCTTTCACGACTTCTTTCCATGCAGTCCTGTCCAAGATAAAAGGAACCTTAAAATACATGGTTTCGCTTTTTTCAGATGAGAAGCAGTATATTGCTTGCATTTCCGCACAGTTTTGTAGTATTCTCGCCCGTGATGGGGTGTGTCGAACTCAATTTCATTGGTCAATCTCCCCATTTCAGCTCTCCAGATTTTTGACTATAAATCTCTTGCTAGCAATGTCCTTTTACGTAAATAATTGTATTCAACATTTCTGGCAAGACACTCATCAGTTTTTGAAGGAACACATGCTTTACGATCATCACCCACTGTCATGTCACTGAAATGCAGTGGAACTGTTGTTTTCGGTGGGAGAGTAATTTTTCTTTAACTGTTTTTTCCTATATTCTTGGGTCTTTCGGTAAAGTCGCGTAGATAGGTTCTAAGAAAATAATACAAAATAACAGAAAACTACGACGTTTCGATCGCAACGCAAGCGGTCGTCTTCAGGAAAAGGGGGGTTAGCTTCCAAGGCAACTATATTCTTAGGTTTTTTCGGTAAAGTCACGTAGGTAAAACATCAAAATTAATGAAAATAAAATAAAAATCACGACGTTTCGGAGGCAACACAAGTCTCCGTCATCAGGTGGGACCGTCACAGCCGGATTAGCTGCATCAAGTGAGGCAATGATTCAAGATGTAATCCCTTAAAAGCAAGTTGAGGGGGGAGGAGGGGGGGGAGCTCATCAGAATGTGGTAGCCAATGAATGGAACGTATCGGGAGGGAGGGGGGTGGGGCTCAAAGACGGCACGGAGTGCCAAGTACAACACATCGGGAGGGGGAGGGGGGCGGGGCCAAAAGAATGGACGACGGCTTGGACGCGGTTGCTGCTGCACGCGCCAACGCATTGGACAGAGAGGGGAGGCCTGATACACATGATAGAAAAAAGAACGAAAATGCCCATGTTTATACCAATGCTGGCTGAACAATGAAGAGAGTACTGTTAAACACTGGGGATGTTAACACTCGTGTGTGCAGCAACCGCGTCCAAGCCGTCGTCCATTCTTTTGACCCCGCCCCCCTTCCCCTTCCCCTCCCGATGTGTTGTACTTGGCACTCCGTGCCGTCTTTGAGCCCCGCCCCCCTCCCTCCCGATACGTTCCATTCATTGGCTACCACATTCTGATGAGCTCCCCCCCCCCTCTCCTCTCCCCTCAACTTGCTTTTAAGGGATTACATCTTTAATCATTGCCTCACTTGATGCAGCTAATCCGGCTGTGACGGTCCCACCTGATGACGGAGACTTGTGTTGCCTCCGAAACGTCGTGATTTTTATTTTATTTTCATTAGTTTTGATGTTTTACCTACGTGACTTTACCGAAAAAACCTAAGAATATGAATCCTTGCAGTCACGAAAGCTTCAAATCTAGAATTCCAAGGCAACTATTTATTAGGGTTTGAAATGGGCGTAGCCCAAATGTCAGCAGCCAATGCTAATGTAAGTGTTCGGCAGCGAGCCCGGCGGAGGTTCGTTTTACACCAATTAAAGGGCTGCCAGGTGAAAATTAGCATGTTAAAGAGAGATTAGCATGTTATTGGAAGATCTAAGAGCTGCAACCAAAGGGTTGGCGCGCGAAGTGACTGTGAAAGCGCAAGTTTGAAATGGGCGTAAGGCACAACTAACATTGGAAGGTGTTAGAATGGGAACATCATAGCCAATTATGACTTAAACTGGTTGATAACATCCTTCCAATGATTGCTCAGGTTGTACCCATCTTGGTTGAAATTGTGCCTGTGTCTATATATATGGATGGCTTCATGAACGAATCTTTGTTGATAGCCAGTGGGCTGGCAAAGTACCTTCATCTTAGAGAAATCAATTTCGTGTGAGCCCACCGCATTAAAACAATGATCAGCCACGTTCGAGGTATTGCCTTATGTTCACAAACACGGTCCGAGACATGTCGCTTAGTTTCCCCAATGTAACTACTGCCGCAGACACAGCTTAGTTTGTAGACGCCGGGGTATTACATGTCACGGATCACATCCTTCACAGATGGGATCAGATCACGAATTTTATGTACTGTGTTAAATCGAACCTGGATCTTGTGTTTGCTCATGATTTTGGAGATGTTTTTAGTGACCCCTGCTATGTATGACAAGGTGATTGCTTTCCGGATTGTGTAGTCTGAATATCCATTCCTCTTGAGAGCTTGGTGTATGTGTTCCAGTTTACTGGCTTGGTGATGATGGTCGGAAATACATCGAGCTCTATGGTGTAGAGTTTTTATGAGGGAATTCTTCTGGGATGGATGGAGGTGGGAGTCCGGTTTTAAGTAGGCATCCGAATGGGTGGCTTTCCTGTAGACAGTGTCCCATTGAGCCATCAGGTCTCTTTTAGATTAAAACATCCAAGAATGGTAACTTGCTATCCTTTTCCACCGACATGGTGAATTTGATGGCTGGGTGTATGGAATTGATGTGGTTGATGAATTGGTTCAGAGCTGGTCGGCCATGTGGCCAGATGACAAACGTGTCATCTACGTACCTCTACCAGAAGGACGGAAGTAGAGTGGATGCCTGGATGGCATCTGTCTCAAATTTTTCCATGAAAACATTGGCTACAACTGGAGATAAGGGAGAACCCATTAGGGTACCTTCAACTTGTTTGTAAAATGTTTCATTCCAGGTGAAATAAGTGTTGGTGAGGCAGTGTCTCACCAGGGCCAGTACATCAGCATTCAGTCCTTGTTGGACCAAACCTTTAATGATTGCAATGGTGTCAGGCACAGGAACTTTTGTAAACAGAGACCACATCGAAACTAACGAGAAAATCACCTGGAGATAGTGAGATGTCCTTCATTAACGATACCAAGTGAGCTGAGTTGAGTACAGCTGAGGTGGTCTTACCAGTGAATGGTTGTAAGGTCTCATACAGAAATCGGGCCAGTCTGTAGGTGGGTGAGTCAATGGTGGAGACGATAGGACGAAGGGGTGTCCCTTCTTTACGGATTTTTGGTAAGCCATACAATCTGGGTGGTCTAGCAGCAGAGGGTTTTAAGGAAACCGCTTGGTTGGTTCGATCAAAGATGTCGAATCAGTGTTTTTGCCCTCAAAATCCTCAACTTTTTCATCACTTCGAGCGATGAGATGGGCTCATTTGTCTCAACACACGTTCTTAGCAATGGCAGACAGTGCAGTTTTTTTCCAAGGGAAATTTTCTTACCGTCTGGGTCTCTGCTCATAAAATCTATGGGCTGCAGGCAACTTGGCAACCTACTCTTTATTGTACCACTTGGTGCGTTTACATTTGTACGCACATTCTGATGCCTGATATACGTACACTTTTGGTTTTGCATTCACTTTATTTTCTCGGGGTTCTTGGTCGCATTACTTGTTTTCACCGTGGATGGCTCTTCCAGGTTTACCTGTTTCCTTAGTCGTCACAGTAGCTATGATTGATTCTCCTTTATCATTTGATGTCTTTCCATGCTAACTTGGCAGCGTCTTTCTGAAGCTAGGCTATCTGCCCCTCATGGGCGTACATCCCCTTCCTTGATTCCAGCCTCCTCTCCCTCGTATGTGTAAGGGTGTATCCACGGCCTCAGAGCCGATGTTCTTCTAAGAGCCGGGTCTGTCTGGCTGGGTGTCATGACCTGTGCCATGACCAGGGCCGAGTCAGATAGCCTCTCCCAGCACCCTTAGCGGAAAACCTGGGAGCAGAACAGTTAGGCAGATAGCCTAGGGGTGTATCCCAGTCCAGTATAGGTAAAGGGGCCGTTACCCCTTCATACATTGCCCTGTGCCGAGTGTAAAGTTATAATGAATAGTGTGCCTCGACTACACCGTCTCTGTCGCTTCGGAACCCATCTACATATGTAGATAAACCAGTTGCCCCCTTTACATTATCTAGATGATCAGTTTTCTTGTTCGTCTGGTGTTGTGTTCCCTTGTTAATGTATGTCTGTGAGGAGTTTTACAGAAGGTTGCAGTGTTATCTTGTGAGATTCCCCCTGGCATCTCACTTCCCGCAGTACGTGGACCCATGCCACTTGCTGCCTCAGACACATGTGTAACCATGTCTTGCTCACAACATCTTTGTGATTTCTGGCCTTACGTACATGGAAGTAATACATATTACACACCCTATTTTCGTCATCATCTTCCCCCCCCCCCCCCCCCCGCATAAAATAAACGCTTAGAGTGTAGAAGTTAATCTCGAGGGTCTTTATCTGTTTTTTGCTGCATAGTTGTGGAGGTACCCAGTCCGTCCAAAGATGTCATCAATTTCCCAAATCTCTTTAATTTCTTCGCCCAACTACTGAAAAGATGTTTTGGTCTTTGATGGTAGACGATTCAAACACGTCAATATCACTGACGTAGGTTGCAGTTTAACAGGCTGGCCTTTCACTCGACCTCAACTTCCTATATCCAGCCTCGGATTCAAAGGGTCATTATATGCACTTGTATGTCACGTTTGCTGCTTGGATCAAAACAGGTAATGCTGCTGAGAGCTTTTTCCGTGCTCTTTGTTACATGGCCCCTCATGTGTCGATCCTCATCTACATATCCGTGTCAGAGGACTCGTCCCATGGGTGGGGAATTGTCCTCGCTGATGGCATCGTCCACGTTTCCGTTTTCTGTGTCGGCTTCGATCACAGTCCTCTGATCACTGGGACTAGAATTATGTATATCATTGTCCCACGTTATTTTACACATGTCTTGAGTGGGGCAAGCGGCATCCATGTCTTATGCCCAACACACTTTTATCACACTCCCTGCTTTTCCTCGGCCGTGATCATACTCCCCGTATTTACGTCGATATTGCCGATCTATCTGGGCCACTTTCATGCTCCCAGTCAGCTCGGCCGTGCCTTGTTTCAGAACCGCTGTAACTTTTCCAGCATATTGAAGAGTTGTCTGTCGCAGTGACCTGAACTTGTTTCATTCGTAACTGCACACGATCCTTGAGTTGTTCCATCCTAGATTTGGAGCTTTCGTGACTGCAAGGATTCATACTCTTAGTTCTTTCGGTAAAGTCACGTAGGTAAAAAATTAAATTAAAATTAATAAAAATAAAACAATAAAAATCACGACGTTTTGGAGGCAACACAAGCCTCCGTCATCAGGTGGGGCCGTCACAACCAGATTTGCTGCTTATTGTTTTATTTTTATTAATTTTTATTTCATTTTTTACCTACGTGACTTTACCGAAAGAACTAAGAGTATTGTTCCATCCTATCTAGTATGTACCTAATATTCCTCTCTTTTTTTCTCATATATATGTTGAACTTCTTTTGCACTGTACATATTCAACCATGCTAATTTTAGATGTGGGGAAGGACAACAAACTAAACACAAAAAGTAGTTCCAAAGAAATTAGTTTTCAATCAAGATTTTAAAACTTAGATTTTTTTAAAATAAGTTCTGCAACATGAATTTCAGATAACACTTTCTTTTTCCCACTAATTTATTCCTGATTGGTATAGTCTCCTATGCCATCATATTCCCCATTTACCACACTGCCTCTCTTATGTATGTATGTTGAACTTCTTTCGAAGCCGCGAGGAAAGGACAACAAACTAAACACAAAAAGCAGTTTTAAAGAAATGAGTTTTCAATCTAGATTTAAAAGTGCCATAGCTCCAGTGGATTCCTAATATCGGAAGGAAGAGCATTCCAGACGATTGCAGAAGTGCATCCAAAAGCGAGCGATGCAGTGACCCTCTTTGTTCGATTGCTAGCCAAAAGTCGCTGCGAGGATGACGTGATGGTTTATGCTCCTTGAGATCAGCAAGGTAATCACAGATGGGCATGCCCCCCATCTATGCTGTATATTTGCTTACAGGTCATTGTATGCCCTATGTCCCTTTCGCAACTCAATTGCTTGGCTTTGACATTCCCCTGATATAAGCTCAATTATGTGTGAATAAACCCTGATAATATCCACCAATTTATCATGAAGCTCTTGGCCATCATATCTAAAAGCAAACTTTAATATTTGCTGTTTTTGAATAATATAAAGCTGATACATAATGGCAAGTGAGATTAAGGAGACTCAAAGTGAGTGCTGCGGAATATATATATTGAAGGAGAGCGAGAAGAGATTTGCCTACTGGAAAAAGAAGCCATTGCTTTTGAAAGGGAGATAAGTTGACATTGCACTGAACGTGCTGTAGACGACACGAGATTTAAAAAAATGACTAAAACAAGTCCGTGGAAAATTTTCAAGATGACGACACATCTCTATGTAGGACATTGGAGACGGGTGTCATCGTTTTACACGTCAAAACCCATCACACATGGCAAGTTATCGACTACTTCGATCATCTGGCTACCGTGCCGTCATCCATCAAAGCTGCTTTCTGCGTTGGGCGAGTGACGTGTTCGACGACATTACAATACAAGGGACCTGTCTGTTACTCGTCCATTGACTTCAAATTCACCAGCCACAGAAGACTCGAAAACGTCTGTCATGTCACCATTTCACCATAGACTGAGACCATCTGCTACAGACTGTGCCTCAAATGAATACGAATCTATGGTTATCACTACCTGACACTTAACCATTCCATTACGATAATCTCATTATCACATTTTACATTGACAATCACAAGAACATAAAAAACTGGTATCGGAGCCTATGACGCAATTGATATTCTAAATGTATATGCACCCAATATTAACCAGGCTTCATATCCTGAAAGCCGATTGCCTTTGTTCCATTGCTTGCCTTATCATAATCATCATAGCGTGCAGTGGGTGATGCTTTATTAACCTAAATTCTGAGTTAAGTAATTGATTAATACCTTTTTGTTTTCAGTGCGTAACAGGATCAAGTATTCTTTGGACCAAGTGTCAGTTGCATATTTGATGACTGGTACTCTGATTTTTAATTAGACGTTTTTGCATTTAATTGTGTGTTTGCTTGAGTGGGGAGCGGTAGTGTAGCGGTTAGCGCACTGCGCCGAACCCGGTGACCCATGTTCGATTCCTGTTCACGGGCAACAAATGCGGTTGGTCGTGGTGATGGCCACTCACCCCATCGTGTACTGTTCCCGCCTTCATAGGTGCTCACTAACATCACTTTCCCTAAAAGTATGTTAAGGCTACACGGGGGATCTTTATTTTTTGTGTGTGATTGAACAGTGTCAAATGCATCCATTACACGCCAGATATCAAAGAATGTGGACAATACGACTAGTCACTGCGTATAATGAATCAAATATACCCTAGACAATCATTAAAATAAATGACGGATATCTTCCTGGACGACGACGACCCCCTGCTGTGTGGACCTGAGGTCACTCACGAGACATATCCGTGATATCCACTTCCGAGGGGCATTCTCTAAAACAAAGGCTTGCTCTGTGAGGTGTGAGAGATCCAAGTGGATTATTCGTCACTTGGCATGATGGTGACAGAAATCGGGATAAAATTGGGGGGTTGGGGGGGGGAGACACAACGTGATTATTTTAATGTTTTAAATGTGTTACGAGCGAAGGAGCTCGGAAGTGTGACGTTATCGCGGGTGTGCATGTGCAGGCTGGGGTATGTGATCGAGTCACATATTAAGCGCATCGAGCACTACGACGTGGCCATCAAGGATATCAAGGAGATCACGTCGCAGCTCAAGTAGGGAGATTCGCACGCGACTATTCTGGATACTATTCCTTGGATCGTGTTTTCTCACGGTTACGCATTTATTCCTGTTGTGCCCATTGCCTAATTCAATCAATATAATCAAAGTTTCCTGTTTCCTCGCCCTTCGTTTTAATACTCTATATTTATTGAGATCTTGTATATAATTATTACTATATTTTATTATTGCTATATTTAAATCACGTTTTTACAATGACCAGGTTACTATGGGTTCTACAACCCGCACACATGTAATGCTGAGAATATAACCCCCCACTCGAGCCCTGCACACCCGCACCACCTGGGGTAGAGTGTGAGCTGCACTCTGCGTGCACGGAGCAGTGTGGACAAGTGCGTGCAGTCACAGTTCCCCAGAATGGCTAACTGCAGTGCCTAACTCAGCTTTGAATTAGTACCTGTTTACCTTATGTGTGTAAACAGCAGCAATGGAAGAGACCAAATATGCGGCCTGGCGTTGTTGCTATGGCCACACCGCCCGCCTCGGTGCGCTGTTGCCAACATTTTAGGTGGCTGCTCGCTAAAGGCGCTTGCACCATCGGCCTGAAAGGCTAACACGGGTGGGGGTTGTTCGTTCTGTGCAGCGTCAAGTTCAAGGAGGACATGAGGAACCTCTCCGACATCCTCAGCAGCACTCGGGAATACAACGTGCGTCTTGAGCGCCTCGCGCATACTTGGCAGCGTGTCCGCTCCGCAAGTCACGCATTCAATGTGGACGGCGCAGCACTTTGCCAAGCTGTGGACTATGGGAGTTTTATAATAACGGCCCGGATGTAGTTGGTTTATTCCATTTTTTATTGCATAACCGGTAAAAAAAGGTGACCAGTTTGCCACGCAAACAGAAATGTCTCGTGATTAGCATAAAGTTTTGAGCTGAGAAACCAAGGGGGCCGCCACTGTGGTGCAAGTGGTAATCAGCATACTGGACTTGTAATCCAGAGGTTCCCGGATCGATTCCATCTCACAAGCACGTAGTTGAAACAATAAGGAAAGTTTCTTAAATCCCAACACCCCCACTGCCTGTCCAAGCAGCATCCGTGAGTACAGCACAAATACCCGCTAGAGCTCCCTCGAGGTGATGAACTCCCGGCAATGGCATGAACAAAGCAAGCATACAACTGCAGAACTGCACCTTTACCTTATCACTGATGTTCGAGCGTGCCAATCGGTTGCGTTCATGACTCACATTGCACTGGAAACAGTTACCAGATCCCGATTTTAGGAACTGGTAACGGATTCTGAAAAGAGTTGCCGGTTTCCCAGTTATCATTTAACAACCCTAGTTTTGTTGTGGCCTTAGCGGACATAGAATTGTGATGATACTCAGATGCTGTAATGATAGTTGCGGTTACCTATGGCGCTGTAAAGACCCCTGGAGGCATTCGGCCGCCTCTTAAAAATCTAATTTGACAACAACAAAAACTCAACACATTCGTCAATAATATTGTCTTTAAAGGAACAGTCTATGAGGTAGTCTTATTGACAAAAGTGTTGATTTGTTTTTGTTATTTGTGCTCGTGCACCACTTCCAAAGCAGCGACGACAGCATTACCAAATAATTTCTGAGAATGACATTCATTGCCCGTGACTTAAAGCTTTCGTGACTGCAGGTATTCATACTCTTTGGGTCTTTCGGTAAAGTCACGTAGATAGAAATGCTATTTTAAAAAATCACGACGTTTCGATCGCAACACAAGCGATCGTCTTCAGGTGAAAAATACAGCAGGCGAACTGCTGAGGCAGGAAAAATATAGCGAGAGAACTACTGCAGCAAGAGGTTAAATAGGTGTGAGATGGGTACAACCCAAGGGTAAGTGGTCGGGGCTAGAGATGGAATTTACAGTAATATACCTCGGCCATTGTATTGCTAGAGATTAGCATGTCAATCTTCTGCACCGTAGTGGTGGGGTTACATTAACAGATTGACATGCTAATCTCTAGCAATACAATGGCCGAGGTATATGACTTGTAAATTCCATCTCTAGCCCCGCGCACTTACCCTTGGGTTGTACCCATCTCACACCTCTTTAACCTCTTGCTGCAGTAGTTCTCTCGCTATATTTCTCCTGCCTCAGCAGTTCACCTGCTGTATTTTTTCACCTGAAGACGATCGCTTGTGTTGCGATCGAAACGTCGTGATTTTTGAAATAATTTTTATATCTGCGTGACTTTACCGAAAGACCCAAGAGTATTAATTGCCCTGTTTACGCAGAAGGGGGCAGCACTTTCTCACCCGATCTGTCTACTGACAGTAATGCTTTTCTTGCATTATGGTCAAACCCAATACTATAATAAAACTATAAACTAAACCATTTTTTATTTTGCCAGGTAAGGTCCACTGACCCATATAGCTCTTTTTTCATAAGCGACCTGGCCATAAATGATAGCTCAACGAAGTAGCTACGGGGCCGTCCATAAATGACGTCACGCACCTAGGGGGTGGGGGGGTCAGACATTTGTGACGATGTGTGACGAGGGGGTGGGTTGAGAAATGTGACGTCACATCAAAATGCGCAACTTTAAATAAATATAAAATTGTTATAACAGCACTAATTTTGATCAATTTTCATTATTAAGTATTTGATTTTTTAAGTTTACTAAGGTCACCTTTTATTTATTCCATGAAGGAGCATTTTTCTTCTCCATGGGAGAATGGAGAAGCATACATTTATAATTTATTATTGTTATTGAACATTTTGATTCTAATGATTTTACCAGGGCTTTTCATTCTGTCGAATGAATGTGATTGTTATAATTGTACTCTCAATTTTGCTTCGTTCTACTACAAAGTTTCAAGTATTTTTTTATAGTTATAATTACTTTTAATATTTTCAAATTATAAGAAAATTTCAACATAATATTCTGAACATCTGCAGTTTTAGTTAGACGTTGAATATTTTCAAGTGAATTTTATGCTAAATGTAAGCTTTCCAACGCCTCCTTTTTAATACGTGTTTTCTGCTACAACATCACAGTGCAGGGCCACATCACATACGCACTACAATGACAATAGTTTAAAGGGATTTGAAGCATGTTTTATTTTAAAAATGGAAATATGGTTTTGGGGGGGGGCAGAGCTTTGTGACGTCATATTTGAGGAGGGTGTCTGACTTTTTGTGACGCCGTGTGACGGGGGGGGGGGTCAAAAATCGTCCAAAATCAAGTGACGTCATTTATGGATGGCCCCTTATGTGGAAATTTCTAGCAGCCAAATATTCTAAACGCATGTTTCTAAATGTAGAGGGAAAAACTGAAGGACCCGAAGAAAAATCTACATGACCATGGGGAGAGAGAACATGTCAACTCCAAATATGCAGTCAGGGGTCGAGATCGTGCCCACGACCTGTTTACCAGGCGAGGTGCTTAACAACTCGCCACTGCGAGATGTTCACTAAATTAAGCGCAGAACCATATTTAATGTGTTTTATTGTCTCATTGGTGAACAGGCTGTTACCATAAACTCTATGCTTGAGTTACCTGCAGTGCCAGCTCAGTGCTCTGACCTCTGAACCAGCTGGCGTCCTCTTATATTCACATTTATTTTGCTTAAAAGCTGCTCATGGAAAGGGATGATGAGGATGTAGATTTGGCAGGCGGTGAAGATGTGTTGAGATTGAGGCGATGAAAGTCACACTGTGGTCAATGGATAGAAACTTCTTTGCATGCTATTCTGCACCCGAACAGGCTGCATTGTACGAAACGAATTTGTTTTAAGACCAGAACGATTGCATTTATAATGGCTCAGGGTGGTCATCTGCGTAGGGGCTGCGAGGCTGTTTTGATGCCTGAGGCTAACGATAATGAACGTAGTGACATGTGTGAGATGCAACGGCTGAGAAGGAGGCTTTCACCCAGCGATGGATTGATGAGTGACAAGATGACGAGCGCGTGCGGTTACTCCGTTGGCAGTGGAATCTGAGAGAGATGTCGTTTTGCCGCCGCTCAGATGCAAAGAAATTTACAGTGCGAGGCGCAACGCTTGGAGAAGTTTATTGAAGAGAGCTCCCTGAGAGGTGAGGGGCTCCCCACATGCACGGGTTGGCAAGACTGGGTTAGCTACATGGCAGGAGGTGCCGCACCCCCCCCCTTCCCCCTGAGTGGACGATAAAGATCTCGTGACTTGGACTGATACCTCATCCAAGCCACTACTTCGCGTGCTACGTGTGCATTGCCTTTATTGAGGCGGTGATACGACATCTGAGAGAGAGAGTTTCCTTCTTAGCTCACCGGATTCTTCCAATCTAAATAAAGATTCTGATTCAATGGCCCCATATTGCAGTGGTTTGTGGTTTCGAATTCAGCAAGCCGCCCTGATTAATACTGTCAGTGTATGTGTGCGATAAAGAAGGGCAATTTTCAGAAACGTTGCCTGTTATATAAATACTTTTTAAAGCCATCGGCGTTATTGACGGATGTGTTGAGTTTTTGTTACTTGTGCACAAAAGCATCGCCAAATCATTTGTTGAATGCGCCGTTGTACTGCAGTCTCGCATCCGGCGGCGACGCAGAGCGAGGAGCCCGAGGAGAATGAGGACTTCCTGCGCAGAATGGAGACACAGCAAATGGAGTGCGCTGCTCCTCCTGTCCATCCCTCAGCACCCATTACCAAATCTAATGCTGGATGAGGGCCTCCCCACACCTATGCGGAATGTAGGGGGTTATTTGGGACAAACCTAACCATGCTGGTTAGCGCAGGCTGATGAATGCGGGTGGGGAGCATAGACATACAGGTATAAAAGTACTCGACAACAAATAATTTTGCTTGCATTGTCCTCTGCTGTCGACAGCTGTAGCCTCTCTGACCAAATCTCCTGATTTGTACACAATCTCACCAGATCTCGGAAGCTAATCAGGACTGCAAACCTGGATAGTGCTTGGATGGGGCACCATTATGCATAACATGTGTTGTAGCCTGCAGGGAAAATGTGGGGGTGCAGCTGTAAGTGAAGCCGAATATAAGTGCAGGTGTGTGTGTATATGTGGGAGCCGACGGACAAGACCAGTAATGGGATGGCAGCCCAAACAGCGAACACGTCCCAAGAGTAGGTTTTACCCTTTCTGGCAATAAAACAGGTGTTAAGATGTTTAAACACCAAGCTGAAACTTTTGCAAGGAATCATGTCTGCATTAACCACATATACTTGTGATGAACATGCAAACAAAAACACATGCTCTGATATTATATGCATTGTCTCTGAAACTGATTTGTCCACACCAGAGACAGTTTTCTTTAGAGCCTAGTCTCAAACAGTGTTAGATATAAAACAGATTCTTATATTTTGATACTGGCAAGGAAGGTCCCATGACGTCCCAAGAAGACAGCCAAAGCTGGGATGGTAGTAATGAAAGGATGGTAGCAGCACTGCACCATGAGGCATGGTGACAGTGTAGGGAAGCTTTCATCCAGCAGTGGATAGACAACGGCTACTGCTGATGGTGATGAAAGTGCGGGTGTTGAGCGCGTGTCTCTGTGTACAGGGCACGGCTGTTGAAAGAGAACCGCGCTGTCCAGAATGCAATGGATTTGGGGAGCACTGAGGAGGAGCTGCACCATGTCGTCAGGTGCGCCCCCCCTCTCCCCGTGCACTCGCTGTCTCCCCTTGTGCAGTTCCCTTCGTTTCTCACTGAGCCGGCTGTTTCAGGGATGTGCGATTGTATCACTTCTGTGCTCCAATTGTTGCGCTGGATTCCTGTTAAGTCTCGGATGCACTCTAAGACAGCAGGAACTGTTTTTAAGATTTCTCATGGTCTTGCCCCTTTCTACGTCTCCTCTCATCAACACACACACGCTTTGCTACCTATCCCCTTTCATTTCAATGCACTACCTGTAAATACTTTCCTACCTTTGCGGGGTCATCTCTCTGCTGCACCTCTACACGCTACTCCATCTCCGCTCTCATCTCACTTTACTTCCCTCCACACGCCCTACCTCTCCCCTCTCATCACACTCCACATGCTCTCTTCCCCTCTCGCCTCACTCTCCTCCACACGCTCTCCTACCTCTCGTCTCCCTCCACTCCCCTACCTCTCCACTCTCATATCACTCCACTCCCTTCTGCATGCTAACCTACCTCTCTGGCGTAACTAAATTCATAACTCACCAAGCCTCTTGGTTCAACCCTTATCGTTAAATCATGATTGTACTAAACCCCATAGTGCTACTATCACGCTTAATTTACAATGACTATAATTGACTCTCGCCACGTATGTTTAATTTATTATAATGTTGCAAATTAAAAACACCAACAATCATTTTGTATCACTAATTTATCATCGTGATAATCTCCATAACCTTTATGAACAACTAAGTTAACATTTGATGACAATGACAATAGCTGATCGAGTCGCTCACTTTCCTGAAGAGATGTCGCGGCACTAAGATAATACCGATCGCCTTTACACTCACATCTGCTGTTGTCACTTCTAATGCTAAACGGATCTTGTTCAGGGCCAGCCTAGCCCTGGTCTCAGAGAGAATAAGACTGTTTCGATTTGAACTAGACAATTTAGACAAGCCCCTATTGCAATCACACTTAACATTGACAGAAAAAATGTCTACATCTGATTAGGACCATGTAGATAACATGACAGCCTCTTCAGCCGCCTCAATGTCAGCTAAATGCAAAGATAACTTGATTTCCAAGTTCAACCTCCTCTCCAAGAAGAAGCCAGTTCCAGACACTAAAAAGTTAGATGGTGACAAGATTGTTATCAATCAGAGCAATAGCCCAATATCCGACAGCCTAAAATCGGTTATAGCTAAAGGGTTGAATTTCGCAGTCACCCTTAAACACATCTCAGTTGCAACATCAGCAAGGATGAGCGCCTTGAACTCTCTCAACTAAAAAGAGAGATGACATAGTTATCCTCTCAGCCGACAAGGGCAATGCCACTGTTATCTTGGAAAAAACCACGTAAAATAACTAAATTCAGGACCTACTTAATAATGGCAGCTATACCAAAATCAATAGAGATCCTACCGACCGCCTGGTTACAAAACCAACATCATCACTGATTCGACATCTTTAATCGAACCAACCAAGCAGCTTGCCTTAAAACCCTCTGCTGCTAGACCACCCAGATTTTATGGCTTACCAAAAATCCATAAAGAAGGCACACCACTCCGCCCTATCGTCTCCACCATTGGCTTACCCACCTACAAACTGGCCCGATTTCTGTCAGAGACCTTGCAACCATTCACTGGTAAGACCACCTCAGCTGTACTTAACTCAGCTCACTTGATATCTTCCATTAAGGAGATCTCACTATCTCCGGGTGATTTGCTTGTCAGTTTCGATGTGGTATCTTTGTTTACCAAAGTTCCTGTGCCTGACACCAATAGAGTAATTGAAGATGTGGTCCAACAAGGATTGAATGCTGATGTACCAGCCCTGGTTAGACACTTCCTCACCAACACTTACTTCACCTGGAATGGAACTTTCTACAAACAAGTTGAAGGTACCCCTATGGGTTCTCCCTTATCTCCAGTTGTAGCCAATGTTTTCATCGAGAAATTTGAGACAGATGCTATCCAGGCATCCACCCTACATCCTTCCCTGTGGAAGAGATACGTTGATGATACGTTCGTCATCTGGCCACATGGCCTACCAGCTCTGGACCAGTTCTTCAACCACATCAATTCCATACACCCAGCTATCAAATTCACCATGGAGGTGGAAAAGGATGGCAAGTTACCATTCTTGGATGTTTTAATCGAAAAGAGACCTGATGGCTCAATGGAACATTGTCTACAGAAAAGCCAGCCATACGGATGCTTACCTAAAACCTGACTTCCACCACCATCTATCCCAGAAGAATTCCCTTATCAAAACTCTATACCACAGAGCTCGTATTTCCGACCATCACCACCTAGCCAGTCAACTGGAGCACGTAAACCAAGCCCTCAAGAGGAATGGATATTCGGACTACACAATCCGTAAAGCTATCAACCCAACCGTTGGAAGAGAACCACCTGAGGACCCAATCAAAACCATCACCTTGCCATACATAGCAGGGGTCACCAAAAATATTTCCAAAATCATGAGCAAACACAAGATCCAGGTGAAGGATGCGATCCCCGACGTGCAACACCCAGGTGTCTACAAACTAAGCTGTGTCTGAGGCAGCAGTTACATTGGGGAAACTAAGCGACATGTCTTGGACCGAGTCCGTGAACATAAGGCAGATCTGAAACACGGTAGGAACAATACCTCAGCCGTGGCTGATCATTATTTTAACGCTGTGGGCACACAAAATTTATTTTGCCAAGACGAAAGTACTCTGCAAACCCACTGGCTATTAACACATTCGTTCATGAAGCCATCCAGATATGTAAACACAGATACAATTTCAACCGAGAAAATGGGTACAAACTGAACAATCATTGGAAGGACGTTATTAACCAGTTTAGGTCATAACTGGCTGTGATGTTCCTATGCTACCTAGCAGTTATTTTCGACTCTCTGAGTTACATTCACTAACACAGCCACCGTTAGCTGTGCTAGTAAATGGCGGCTTGCCATTGTTTTCCACCTCCATGTGGCTACTGCGCTGTCTTACATTGACTTGCTAATCTCTCACAATACAATGGCCACCCCCCACAGCTCTGTAGCACCTCCCCCACATTGGCATTAGCTGCCCCGCCCATCTCTAAATCATTTGTAAATAGCTTTTTGATTGGTGTAGACCTACTGCAGATTACGGAGACCTCTCCCACATTAACATTAGCTGCCCTGCCCATCTCTAAACCATTTGTAAACAGTTCTTTGATTGGTGTAGACCTACTGCAGTTTACGGACACCTCTCCCACATTAACATTAGCTGCCCCGCCCATCTCTAAACCTTTATAAACAGCAGATTTCCCCCTTTTTTCACCTGAAGACGATTGCTCGTGTTGCGATCGAAACGATGTGATATTGTTATTATTTTGATTATTTTCTCTATCTACGTGGCTTTACCGAAAGTCGCAAACTATATTCACCTTATTACACTAACCTAACCAGCCAGTCACAACCCAACAAGTAACAATCGACTTATGATTAAATTAGATCACGTGCATGACTGCCCCTATGATATCATGGCACCTACTTAAGGACCTGGATTAGGAAGCACTTTCACCTGAGATCTGAGCTCCTGTTAACAACTTGATGATGCTGGGCACAGACGCTTCCAAGTGAATGTTGTAAGTTGGCTCTCCAATAGCGGCACCATTGGTGTTGCTGAAGCACCAATAGATTAGGCATGTTTGATTCACGTGACATATTTGTAGTGTTGTAATAACAGATGAATACACTTCTTTAAGGCACACACTGGTTTATTGTCTTTCTTCCGACACAGTCCCTAAAGCCTACGTGTTAAACTGACAGGCCCTATACACACACAGAGGGATATACGGTTCCCTCACCTGTAGCCTGAGGAGGTGCAGCCTCCGTATCTAGCGGGACCTTTACACGGCTCTGACTGCTAGCTTAGGGAGGTACAGCCTCTGAACTGGCGGGAGCTATTCCCAGTCTACCCGCTACCCTAGCGTCCTCCGGCTGGGACCTAGGGGAGGCTAGCCTGACCACTGGTCGCGCAGAGCCTTAGCTCTCATAAGAGCTGGAAGGCTGGGGAGCCAGGGTCCTGCCTGCCAGGACTTATTCTCCCCTTGACTACTGGAACACTGAGCCTTAGCTCTTACAAGAGCTGGAAGGCTTGGTCCAGGGTCCTAGCTTCTTCAGCCGGGCTTCTGTCTTCGTGTGAGGAGAACCGTGGGCGCTCCCCGCGCTCGCCCTTTTATACCCATTTGTAACGGTCCTTATCCAATCCCACGCTCCCTCGTGGGACCCTCTGATTGGTTCTTTACAATCTGCGTTTTCGATGCTCTTTTACTTCATCTGGCCCCTGGCCGTTGGTCTGGCGGGAATCCGTGTTTACGATCCGCTCTCACCTCTCCCTGACCCCGGCCGTTGGTCTCAGAGTAGTAACACTGCATTGCCCCTCTAATACATAGTGGCCCCGCAGAGGTCACCGAATAGAGTGTCTAGCACCTTTACATCACCCCCCCCCCCTTTGGAAGCTTCGACCGTCCCGGCTGCAACAATGGGAAACTCCAACAATGCAAAAATAAAGTGTGTGTGCCTTGCGAACAAGAACAAGAACCAATTTCAAGAACAAGAATAAACACCCAATATAAATCCCCCCCCCCCCTTAATAATAACATATGTACACGGTAACATTTTAACAATTTGACAACATGCGCGACGCAAAAACCCATGCAGCGGTTGTCGCAACCAACGAAAATGATGCACCACCTGGACCGTGTCATACAACGTAATATAGATATTACGAAAACTGGCGGGATTTAACACGCGTGCATTTTGCGGGACCATCGTAGGGGACGAGTGGCCCCTTTAGCGGTGCAGGCGGATCAGGCGGCATGACAGGAATGTCAGGCGGGTCAGGCCTCTCCGTGGAGACCCCTGACGACCCATGGTCCCCAGTGGCCGATCGTGGCCTGCACGGCCCCATCATTCCTACGTCATCTGCAGAAGGAAGGACACGTCTGCGCTGTGGATTTGGCA